TGCTTTTTCCTCGTTATTATTTGCTGATAATTCCTCTGTAGCCACAACAGCTTTAGTCGCGTCAAGTTGCAACGCCTCTGATCCATCTACCTCTGGTAGCTGAGTTGGCGGCACCTCTTTTACATCTTCTGGCTGTTCTCTAGCCACCGTATCGGCATCAGGCGCATCCGCTTCAGCAATTAATTCATCGATCAACACTTTGCGAATATTCTCCGTTTCTAAATTGACATCATCAATTCCAGTGGGAGGGCCAGCTTCAGCAATGCTTTCTGGCGCGATCTCATTATTGGTGTTTTCGACTGCTTCAGCTTCGACTGATGTTGGCGCATCCTCCTTGATGAATTCCTCCTCAGGATCATCTTCTTTTTTAACCACAACAAATTCATCTTTAACAGACATCTGTTGCAATCCATCCACATCCATTTTTACTGCTGCTTCCGGCTCAGCTTGAATTATTTCAGCCGTGCTGGATGTGGCGGCTGCTGCATCTTTAGTAGCGACCTCTGTATCGTTGCCTTCCTTATGCAAACTCTCTAGCGCCAAGTCAATATCATCTTCTGGTTCAGGTTGATCTTCGGCGGCTTCTGCTACAGCGTCTGCTGCTGTTTGTTTCTCAGTTACAGGTTCTGACTGTACAATAGCTGCTAGTTCTGTGGTCGCGGGCTTGTCATCCATATCATCCTCATCCTCGTTCTCATCCTCGGTCCAATCACCCGTCAGCTCTTTAAGCTTCTCGCTAATGTCATCACGACGCTTTTCCACCTTTGGCTGTAATACAAATTTTTCGAATTAAAATTGATATGCATTGTGTGACAATTGCGTTACTTACTTCTTTGCTGTTCTGCTCTGTTTCCAGGTCGTGCTTTGATATTAAATTCTCGGCCCATTCAAGATTATCGATGGACTCCTTGCTCTCATCAGCCGTTTCGCTCTTTTTGCTGCTGCTCTCTACAGAACCGGTAGCGCCCAGTTCGCTATAAATTTGACTGTCATCGTATTCCTCCTCTTCGGTACCCGCTGAGGATTTGGCATCGCCTTCCTGCTTATCATCGACATCGGGCTCACTGAGCACCATGACAACACCGCCGCTGGGTGCGCCAGCTTGTTGCTGATTCAGCTGTGACAATATCTCCTTGCGTTGTTCCTCGGTGAGCTCCACCTCATTGCCGTCGGCACCGACAAATTTGACTTCCTGCTCCTGAGTCTGCGACTGCAGCAGTTGCTCCGAATCTGCATCTGCTTCCGTTTCGGCCTCTTCTTGCTCATCTCGGGACTGTTGCTGTACCATGGCACTGTTCGCCGGCAAGCTGATGTCGGATAAAATGCGTACCTTTTCCTCCTGTATTGGTTCCTCTTCAGGCTCCTCCTCCTCCTCTTCCTGGTCTTCATCGTCCAACTGTTCGTCTTCATCCTGTGAGCCGAGATATTCTTCATCGGTTTCATCAATGATGCCATCCTCAAGCGCCTGTGCCTTATGATAGCTCTTCATATGTCTGTACAGCTGCAGCTCCTGGGCAAACACCTTATTACAATAAATGCACTGCTGCTTGTTCTCATCCGTGTGCGCCTCGTTTATGTGCTGCTCCAGCTCGCTCTTGGTCAAGTACGTTTGGTTGCACATGGCGCATTCCGCAAAGTTGTAGAGCAACGATTTGATCTGATGCTCTGTGTACATGTGGAAGTGTAGCTCCCGATTGTTGCCGGAACGCCAACCACAATGCTCGCATAGCGCCGGATCAATTGTCTCCTTGTGGGTGTTGATCAAATGGCGACGGAAACCACGATATGATGGAATGCTAATTGGCCGACCATTAACGCCGCAACGCAGACACAGCCAAGGACCTGCGGAATAGGAACAGAATGAAGACAAGATATTTAGTGAAAAAATTGAATATGATGAGACATTTTATTGATCAATATAGATCGGCTCTTCCAAGATAACTATTTATATATCCATTTAATATCATCTTTTTGTTGACCGTATATCATAATTTAAAGGTATTTAACCTGGTTAAACGGTGCGGCAGATTCACCCTAAAATTACAAGAACTTGGACTACTATAATACTGATACTAATCGTTGTACAATAGCTGGCTATATTTCTTTAGGTGACTAAAATGTTTTCTTGTTAATTATTTAGTTGTTATTTTAGATCAAAAGACTTTCGCTTATCGGAGACTTTCGTATTTATGTATGCAAAAATTTGTTGTATACTTTTTTTTCTGCATCATTTTAAAGAGTGTGCGTTAATACCTCATGTCTGTAGCACTTACCTGTGGTGTTCTCAGCGCCGAGTGCAATTAGCGCATGCATTGTCTTGCTATCAATGCGTCGCTTTTGCGCGGCCGCTGCCGCAGTTGCTGTCGTAGAAGCCGCTGCTGCTGATGCCTGTGTTGCCTCTGCTGTTGGTGGCTGAGCCGTTGTCACTTTCTGTGCGGACTTTTGCTGCTGTGTGGTTATCATGGGTTTGTCTGGCTTGAATGAAACATGCAGCTTCTTGTGTGGCGAAGTGGCACTGGCTGGAGAACCTGCTGCTGCTGCGGCTGGTGCCGGTGAGGCACGTTTGACAGCGTTCGCTGCTTTATCGACCGGACTATTGGGCATTATTTTCAGTTTGATATTCTTGTGTCCCTTCACAATATGTGGATATTGTCGCAACACCTCGGCTATGATTTTAGTATGATTCAGCTTCGTGTTGGACGAATCCTTGACGATAATCGTGGGTGTTTGGCTCGGCGAATCCTGCTTGAGTATGATGGTTGTTGTGCCATGTTCCATTTGTGTCTGTGTGCCGGATTGTTGAACCTGTTGCTGGGTTTGCTGTTGTTGCTTCGATGTTGATGGCTGTGGCGGCATATCATCATCATCATCGTCACCGGTGTGCACGTCATCGTACAGCATCATGTTGTCATATTCGGGATCGCCATGGTCACCATATTCGGCGGCGATTTGTTTGCGCATGCGCTGCTGTTCTGCAAACTCCTTGACCTCCTCCAAACTTGGTTTCTTTGACGGTGGCGATAAAAGGCTGGTCTGTGCCGGCCTCTTGTTATTGTTGTAACCTTTGCGGAGCTGCTCAAATGGCGAGGTGGGCTCCTGTTTGACAAATGTAGTCGTCGACGCTGACTCCATATACTGTGTGCGATTGCTTATGCCGCCGGTGCGCAGTATTGTGGGTGTATTCACGCCACGTGTTGGTTGCGCATTCGTACGCACTGTGTTGCTGTTGCCTGGTATGGCACCAATACGATTTTGTGGTGTTGATACACGTTGCTGTGCCGCCATGGCATTGCCGCTGGGTACCATCGGGCGACGTCGTATACCCTTCGGACTGGGTGGCTGTCAATAGTGGAGATCTGGTAGTTTAGTTATGAATTAGATTTCTAGATTTGCAACTCTTACCCTTTGCTGGCGATTCACATTCTCCATGGTGCGACGATGGGCCTCAAGTAGCTTCAGCAAAACGGTCATGTTCATCTCTTTGGCGGTGCGCAACAGTTTGCCATACATTTTAAGCTCAAACTCCAGTGTGCCCGTGTACATAAAATTGACAATGGGCACCACAACATCCGCTTGAAATTCTGCCGGCATTATGAGTGCGTCGTCAATTATTTCGCAAGTCTGCTCCAGTACATTGAAATAATCGGTGCAAGCGCTTAAGACCAGGCGATGTACCTTCAGTTGTGAATTGTCCCGAAACTGTAGCGTTAAATCGCAATAGTCCGTTTTATTGAAGAAATTCTGGAGCTTCTGCAGAAAGAAGACGCCCCAGTTGTCAACTTTCACGGACTTCACTTCACCCATATTGTTAGTTTCTCTTTCAAATAAAATGCTGTATTTTTGAAACGCGGCCTCCCCGTCGCGATGTCGTCGTCGTCTTCGGTTGTCGTTGTTTGGCTTTTCTAGCGTGAGGCTGGCGCAACTGTACTCCGTTGGGAGCAGGAAATTTCAATTTAGGACACGATTGCAACACAGCGTTGTTAAATGGAATATGAAAAACATAAAAAACCATATACTAAATCAAGTGAATTAATATTATTGTTTAGTTCTTGCACAACTAAAACGCGCTCTACTGGCGTCGATTGATTTTCAACAAACATTAACTGCCCGTGGCGCGGCAATGCAGCTCCGATATGTTTGTGTATGTATGTGTGCGAATGCTAGAGATGGGTGTATGTCGGTTGAGCACGAAACTTAAGCTACAAAAAAATCGCAGTTGACATTTTCCATTTAACGACTTCGAATTAAAAAAAATAACAAATTATATACTTTGCATAAGTTCAACTTTAGTCAATAGAATTTCTTTTTTTTAATTCTTTATGTATATATGTTTTCGTGTGTTTTGCTCCCGCATGTCACGCTCTCAACTCTAGTATGTATGCCACATATATATGCTTCTGATGTGTATGTGAAATGCAATGCACAATGCGCCTTGCTTGCACACATTCAAGACTAACTGCTTTAATTACCTATACAATGGCTTTTATTCTTGAATGCGGTGATATATTTCTATTTAACAAATTGGCGCTAGATTCTGTTGATTTTTCACACACGAAACGTTTATTTGCACACACAATCGTTATCGCTAGGCTCTACAATATCGTCATTATGCAAATTGTACTTTGGAATGTATGATCAAAATTTGCACAAATATATTTTAGTTTTTATTTTCATTATTTTCGTATTAAACATACATTGATTTTTTGTTGCACACTGTTTTTGCCGGACAAATTTGTAATTTTCTCCGTGAAACAGAAAAAGATGGCGTCAGAGTGACCTTATTGAAAATCCGCACTTCTCACCACCGCCACACTTTCGATAATTTCCTAAGAATCGATAGCAAATTATTGTTTAACCAAGAATATAAATATTCGGTGAGAAGTTTTTTGTTTACCTTACTATTTTAAACGTAATAAAATAATTCTGGCAGTCTGTCATTGCCCACCCACAATGAAGTAGATATTGAAAGTAAATTACTCTCTACTTTAAAAAACTATCAAGGCGCCAAAACGCAGCATGTGCTCTATTAACGAAATCGATAACAAACGGCTGCTATCAAGGTAGCAAAAACAAACTTGTGTGTATTTATATATAAAACTTATTTAATTTATTTCAATTGAACCTGAGTAAAATGAGTGCGCGACATAGAGGCAAATCCAAGCGTGGGGCGGGCGCAAGCTCCTATCGGAACGTTAAATCAAATCACAACTGCGAACGCAATTTCGCCCAACAGGCCAACGAACTTGCCAATTGTAGTGCCACCGATAGCGACAGTTCCGAATCCGAATCGTCAGGTGACAACTTGGAGGGCCTCGGTCAGCCACCAGATTTTGCAGTAGCCATGTGGGACCTGAATCACTGTGATCCGAAAAAGTGTTCTGGCAGGAAGCTGGCACGTCTTGGACTTATTTCTAATTTGCGTTTGGGTCAAAAGTTTCCAGGACTCGTGCTCTCACCGATTGGTCAGTTGTGTGTTAGTCCACAGGATCGCGAAATCGTCAATGCTTCTGGGGTGGCTGTCATAGATTGTTCCTGGGCCAAGCTGGATGAGACACCGTTTAATAGAATGCGCAGTCCCCATCCCCGCCTGTTGCCATTCCTGGTCGCGGCAAATCCGATCAACTATGGAAAACCCTGCAAGTTAAGCTGTGTGGAGGCAATTGCAGCAACTCTCCATATATGTGGCTTTACTGAAGAGGCACGTTGGTTTATGGGCAAATTCTCCTGGGGTCATGCGTTTTTGGAGCTAAACGAGAAACTGCTCAATGCGTATGCGGCGTGCAAAAGCAGCGATGAGATTCTAAAGGTGCAAAACGAATATCTGGAGACGGAGCAAAAGGAGCGCGATAAGCCAAGGGATCTGAAGGAGTTCTATCCCACAAGTAGCAGTAGTAGCAGCAGCGAGAGTGCAGATGAAAATGAACAGCAAAACTAAAATAATTAAGTTTTTACAAGAGGCCAAGAAGATGATTTATTTGTTTATGCAAATTCCCTATGGTTGACTTTCATTATATATTACAAGCCAGTTGTGCAAAGCAACTCTCGAATTAAAGCCTAGGAAGCAGCAAAAATGTCCAATTCAAATAAGAGCTGCTTGATTTATATGCCGGGTTTTATTAATGCATCTACTGCGCATTACGCACGTATTCCGGATCAACATTGATAAAGTTTGTCATATTAAAGTACATTGCGCTATTCTTCACCAAAAACTTGAGAAAGTCATGCAGATGGGCTAAAAGCGTTTGCATAGCCGGTTGATCAAGCGCCGAATAGCTCAGCATTGAACCAAGTCGCACAAACAGGCGCAACAAATGAAAGGAGCCATACAGTTCGGACAGGGGCGTATCTGGATGCTTTTGCATTATGTCTGCATATTGGGTGCGCTCGAATTTGTACAGTAGCTGCGAGCCAAGCATCACATTGAAGTACTCGATGATGCCGTCGAGCACATCGTTTATGGCCACCTCTTTGCTGGCACTGGTCGACTTCACCGACTTTTTGTGCGCCAAATACTGGTCAGCTATCTGCTGCACTGTCACCTTGGCAGGCAGTTCCAATAGTTTGTGTTCACGCACTACCGCATACCAGTCGTCGGTAAGATAATGCTTGAGTTCATCGGGTATTTTGATTTTCACCTCTAACTTTGCCGTGTACGTTTCCTCGCTCTCCACACATGGCGCATCCGTAGTGGCACCAGCAGCAGCAGTTGCAGTTGTTGTTGACGTTGTCGTTGGCTGATGTTGCGGCTGTGCTGTTGTGGTGCTTGCATCTTGTCCATTACCGGCGGTTAAGGATGAACGCAGGTCGCTGTTGCTATTTTGTGAGCTCATGCGTTTGGCTTTAGGCGGTACCGGCGTAGCGACCTCATCTTCTGTGTTGTCCGCCGCCGATGATTCATCTTTTTTGTCTCCGCCTGTTGTACTGGGCGTGCTCGGCCGTACCGCAGCTGTGGCAGATTGTGTGGATTTGCGATTACTTCGACTAGTCGTGGTCGTGGCTGTGCTGCTGCTTGTGTTGGTGTTGTTGCTGTTATTGATAGTCTCGTTTTTAGCTGTGGGTGGTGCAGCCACCGTGGGTGTGCTGGCAGCGTTGCTGCTGGTGCCAGTTGCTGGCAAAGATGTGTTTCCATCTTTGGAGGGCGTCGATGCACGAGATTCATTGCCAACTTGCTCCATTTTCTTGGCTTTTGCACTGCCTGGCATGTGGGGAAACACACTCCATTGTGAGCATACAATTTAAACAGCTTTAAGTTCCAGTACATACCTTTCTTGTTGTCCTTCTTTGAGCGTTCACCATACACTCGGGCAAGTTCTTTTTGGCGCTTCACGTTATCCTCATTGTATTTTAGCACACGACTCTCTGGTACCCACTCGTCCCAGCTAAGTTTCGAAAGAGAATATAGTTTAAATAAACAAAACAATTTCCATATTAGGCACGATTACTTTTTGCTCCAGCCCGCATAGTGTATGTAATATTCAACTGGCGAACTTTCGGGCTTTGTTTTGAGTACTTTGGCTTCGTAGATAAGCGGCCCGTGGAAACATAGCACACGTTCCCCTACAAGATACATTTAAAGATAAAAACCTTTGCTGCGAATGTGAGTTGAGGACTTACCATCTGCAAATATTGTAGCTGCATCAGATGGAGCCCAGCTATCCATTTTTACGGGTTTAACTTCTCCCATTTTTAGGTTGAAAATATTTGCCAAAGCGTCGCAGCTGATTTGAGTAGGTTGGCAGCCCTGATATATGTACCTACATATTCCGCCGATTATTCAGGGCTACAAAAGGCAATTCTGACAATAATCATATGCAATTTAATATGAAGATAATTATTTATTTACAATATTAAATGAACGCTAAAGCCTACATCACAAATGTTTCACAATAATTATTTGGCCGCAGATAAGGCCGCTAGCTCCTCCTCTTCCCACGGCCGTGGACCTCGCTTGTTTGACCAATTGTCAATGTCGATGCCTTTAACCTTATCATATTCCGTTTCGAGCGTTACTTCTTGACGTTTCTTCATACTCACGCCGTACTTCTTCATTTCTTCCGGCGAGACAGGTTGCATTTTGGAGTACTGATATCTGCAAGCAACAAATACATACGTCAAGTGCATGTAAGTTCCAAATGAGATTACCTTGCTTACCTTAGATTAGAAAACTGTTGCAGTCCAAATGAGCCGGCTACCATCATAATTAGAAAGGGTATGCCATATTTAAATGACTTTCGTTTGGCGTAATAATTTAGTTTTTGTGTAAATGACATTTTTGTGTTATTGTTATGAAATGATAATACAAGACCAGACCAGGGCTGGCGATATGCGTCAGATATGTGTGTGTGCAGTCTTATCGATTAATTATATCGGTTTCAGTGCGATAAATTTGGCGGTCTTTGAGTTTTAATTTGACTGCTTTAAATGTAGACAGAATATTATTTGCTTGGTTTTGTGTAAAAATAGCGCATTTTAAACATTCTTACGCCCTTGATGCCAATCAAATGAGTCGTGTGTTTTTGCCAAATTGTTCAGCTAGATGCGAATAATTTCTAATTCTCAATTGTTTTCCGGCTAACAATAAATGTCACTCTCTTTTCTTTATTTACATACGATTTGGCGTTAAGTTCAAGGTCTGGTACGCTTGCCATTGCATATATAGCTGTGTAATTTACAAATAATTGACAGTGATGTTGTTCTAAGAGCGCCAAAAAGTTTCTCACATGCACACCACGACATTTGATATGGAACAAACGGCGCTGTGTCTGTGGTTCACCTTGGCCGTTATGTAGCGGCCAAGCAAGGCAAGTGGCTCGTCGCAAAGATTTCCTTTTAGTACCAAAGCTCAACCAGTTCGGGTTCGAGTTCAAGTCATATACACAAGGAGCTACAACAACACCATCGATGCGACACGGCAACAATTGAGTCATCAATTGCGCCGGCGCACAGCGGGACGTCGACACGAAGAGCGCCCCTGAGACTGGGTTGGTGCGCTTGATTGCCCGCCTGCACCCCCTATCATAGACTGCACAAACGGTCTGAGATTACTTTTTATTTTCTGCTGTACCCTATCTGTTGCTACGCTTCAAGTTTTCCCAGCAACATGTGGCAAGCGTCGGCTAGGCCTTACGACAAAGTTTCAATAATTTTTGTTCAATTTTCACCAAATATGGTTGCAATTTTGTTAACAAGATATTGCACTTGTTTGAGTCGCAGCCGAAAGACAAACTTGTTCATGTACATATTTTTCTAGAACTTATTGGAATTATGAAAAGTCCGTTGTATTTCATGTTCGTTACACCGGCCATGATTTGATTTTTCATATTTAGCCAGTTGCTCGGGCATTTTGAGCATTCCGGGGCCTTTCATCAGCTCACAGAATACACATATTGGCATTTGGTTTTGTTTTTGCCAACACTTTTGAATGAAATGGATTGCGTCATTGTGTGGGTGTTGCTCGGATTTAAATATACATTTCTTATGTGCCCTCATTGCTAAAACAGAGTTTTCTCCAAAGGAAAATCCAGACGCAACTAACCCAATAAATACGAAAATGTATACTTTGTTTTTGCTTCATTTAAGATATTTATGTGTTAGCCATATGTGTCTGTAGAAAGAAACTTATATAAAAACAGACTGATATATCTCTTACATAAATATCGTAAGAGAAGCATATATTAATATAAAATATGTAAATCTTTGAGATAAAACAAATGCAAGGTCAATTCAATTAACTTAAGAAACGGATTGAACAAAAGAAAGTATTGAAATTTCTTGCTTCACTAAATATAAAATAAAGTTACATTTCTTGTAATTCTTCCATGTTGAGGTTCTTTAATATAAAAGAAAAATCTTTAAAGTCGCATAATTATTTTTAAGATATGTTTGATAAAATTAAAAAATAATTATAATAGCGTATTGGAGAGTTTTAGAAGTAAAAGGGCATTCCTTTATTTCGTTAAGGCGACGTTTTCAAAAATTCTCGTTCAGATAATAACATAAAGAAATTCATTCCAACCGAGATAATATAATGATATTAAATATCATTTAAAAGTATTGTCTTATTATATTATTATCATTCCCCCTTCAGTTAATGAGCTGCGCGTGCTAAAGAGTAAAGTTTTGTATCTTTAAGTAATTTATCTGCAATTGCATATCTGGTATTTTGCACGTTCTGCGCCAGATGTGACTCATGACTGCCAATTCTTAATTGTTCTATGCAATTGTGTTAATTGTATTAACTAAAAATATGCTTCAATTTGTTCAGGCTAAAAGAAATATATATGCTCTCCGTTTGTAGACACGATCTTTGGAAATCTAAAAAAAATATGCACAGTAGCAAAAAAAAAAATATACAAAATTTATATGTAAGAATGTGATTTTGTTTTTTGGCATATCAATAACTGAAATTTAAAAATAGCTGCCAAATTATGAAAGGAACAAAACAAGAAAGTAAAATTAAATAAAATAAAGATACACACACGCACACATACAATAAAAAAAACACAGAAAATACTGGCACATTAAGCTTTTAAAAAAAAAAATACGGGGAAATTTTGAAATTCTTTATTGAAATTCTTTGCGCCTAAAACCAATACAAGCGCAGACAATCACACACATACATAAGTGACAGGTGAAAGAGGCAAAAGTCGAATAGAGAGAGCGAAGGAATTTTGTTGTTGCTTCTTACACGTTGTTGTTGTCTGTTTGGTTCTTTCGTTTCTCTATTTGTGTGCGTGTGTGTGTGTGTGCCGGGCTCTCTGTGTCTGTGGCGGCAAAATGCAGTTTGAAAATACAAATTTGAGCGGCCAGCGATTTGTGTTGAGCATGCAAAACGCACGCGAGCTGCTGAGCGCGGCGGCTTCGCGTTGCTTTGCCCAAAAGTATCTGTCAGACACTTGAGTGCTCTCTTACACACACACACATGCACACGCACACACGGACGGCCGCGGCGCACGCACACAAGCGCAAACAGCTCGAAATCGAAAAACGGCGGGCATCGAACGTCAGTATATTGAATAAATATTTTCAGTTGAACATCACAATCCGTTCAAGTCGCGGATAACTCCGAATAAAAGTTTTGTAAGTAAAAGGAACAAATTAAATAAAACACACAATTTGCTAAGTACATTTTATTTAATAAATCTTTCGCTGTGCTGCAGCTAATTTACTATTTAAAAACATTTGTAAAAAAAAAACAAAAACCAAGTGCCAAGAGTTTTCTTGAAAAAATTAACAAGGACATTCTCGAAAGTTTATTACATAATCAATAAATCAACCAACAAAAATGCAAGTAACAAATAATTCAACTAATCAAAGTGCTGTGCAGTATTCAGATAATAAAACCGCAAACATTTCCAAAACTATTCAAAATATTTGGAACGGTTCGGTTCGAGAAGCAAATTGAGGTTATGCTCAACTTTGGCAACAAGCTTGATATAATGCAAACATTATTATGAATATTAAAGCCAATGTCTTTGACCATATTCATAGTTTGTAGCCTAACCACAAGTTGCCTTCTAGAATTTCAATTAAACGCATTGCGTGAGATATATAAATAAATATAGTCAATCGACATTTCGGTCGCAACATTTTCTTGCAGTTCATTCAAAATTCAAATGTTAGGGCAGGACGGGATCAGCCAATGAAATGTAGCATAATTTCTAGATAATATATCGCTTTCTAAACACAAATATTATGAACAAATTCAGATAGAGTATCTAGAAGAAAGTTCAGACATTCCTGAATGTTTTCTTTTCTTTTTTTACAATATAGTCAATCGACATGCTACAGAAAAATATTTGAAAATATTCCAAAGTCGTCAGAATTTTTCGCTGCAATGTAATTCGATACAGAACGACAGTTCCCAGCGCTCGAATCTATCTAAAGGCAAGCGTAGGCGAAATGCTTGAGATATTCTTGAAAAGCTTTTCACACTTTATATTAAGTAATATCCCATCGGGCAGCTATTGGGAAATATTCAACAGATGCCAGGCTATATTTAGCATTAACGAGAGCGCGATCTGCAAAAGCTCCCGTAAGCTTTCAGTGTTGCCAGGCTTGTTCAAATATACTGAAAAATAATATATATATACATACATATATATGTTTTAAAAATAGAGAATTTTGTAGGTATAACTAGCACAGTTTTTTTTTTTTTCATGGATAACTTGGAAAATTTTGTGCTATAAACAGGTTGAATTTCTAGTTCTTAGAACACAAACGATTAGTTTCCTCAGAAGGTGTGTGTGTGTGTTAAAATAACTGTGTATTTACATATATTTTTGAAGAAAGAAATTTTGTATTAACTTAAGCTGGTTTGGATCTGCTGTGAATAAGTTTTGGCAGCTAAGCTCAAATACTTGCTGGCAACAGAATTTTTGAAACGTTTTCGAAGCATATTCGATATCATTTGTAAGCTTAAATTATTTATTTTATTTTTCAAATCGGTTAAACTTAAAGCCTTAGACTCACGTCAGAGTATGCCAAAAGACTTGTTGTGAAGAACGAAAATTGGAGTTCTTATTTGGACTTTAGGCTCATTTGTATATGTATGTCATTGTCATTCTTTATGTCGCCGTCATTATAAATTTTCAAGTGATTTTCTGCCGAATAAACAAATATAATTCATTGTGTCACCTCGTTCGATATACACACGACATACACAACATTTATAAACACTTATCAAAAAAAAAAAAAAATGAACCCAAACCTTCTGTCCATCTGTATTGTCCGCATGCTGTCGAGCACATACATATATATATATACTATATATATATACAATTCTGCCCCGATTGCAGTTTTTATTTAAAATTAAATTTTTGTTGTTGCTTGCTCGCCTAAAAGCCTGGAACGTGCCTTCGCACCCAGCTACCCCCTCCGATCTCTCTGAGCAGCTGGAATGTAAGCAAAAGTTAAGTTAAAAATAAACTCAGATGTGCGAAATATTATATATGTATATATACTATAAGAACCCATAACGCCAGGGGCCACAAGCATGGGCGCAGCTGACTCAATTTGTTTGGCATTCCGATTTATGACAAACTTATATGTTGGCCGGGAATAATGCGCAGGGCCCACTTCAGAAATCCCTTGAATGTGAGTCAGCCAGCTAAAAAATTGTACTCCCCGCCTTATCAACTTGACACCTATTCGCGGTCAGAGAACAACAAGAGAATTGAGAGAGAGAGAGAGACAGAGAGAGAGAGAGAGAGAGAGAGAGAGAGAGAGAGAGAGAGATAGAGAGAGCCAAGAGCTTACAGAGGAGAGAACCCTGCCATGTCGCGAAGTTTTAAAGCTCGGTTAAGAGCTCAAAAGGAATTTGAAAGGAAATGTATTTACGATGGTTGCAAAATCTTATTTTTATTTTAATTAAAACTATTTACTTTTTAAGACCAAACTGTTTTAAGATTTGGCGAGTATATGCTGATTAAATTTAATAATTAAAATAAAAGGTTGTGTTCAACTAGTAGATACTCTGTAGTCGAATGGACTAGAATATTTTGTTGTAAATTTTTTGTGTTTTTATACTCTGAACCCATTGAAAATGCATAAAAAGGGTATAATGTATTTGCGCAAATGTAAAATGTATGTAACAGGCAAAAGGAAGCATCTTCGACCCCATAAAGTATATATATTCTTGATCAATAGCCGAATCGATCTAGCCATGTCCGTCTGTCTGTCTGTCCGTCTGTCCGTATGTATGAACGCAAAAATCTCAGAGCCTATAAGAGCTAGAGGCTTGGACCTTAGGCTCTCCTAGTGCTTGCGCAGATCGAGTTTGTTTCCGATAATCGATAGCTTACTCCGTTTCCAAGCAATCGATAAAAATCGATATCGACATCCTGTTTTTTGAGCAAATTAATTAAATAATAAGAGCTAGAGTCAGCAAACTTGATATATTGCTTCTAGAATATTGTATATATATCAAGTATCTTTCATTTTATACCTGTCTCAACCTCCCCGCTACCTTCGCAAAGCTATAAATCAAGTTTACAACCCAACTTGTATTGCCAACCAATTTAAGCCACAATTAAAATGCAATTGATTTTTTGAGAATATACAAATATTCTATGGTACAATAAGATACCATAGCAAATTTCATTAAGATCGGTTTTTGTTTTATTTTTCGATGTTTTGACTTGCATACACATGTACGTACACACATGAACACACACATATTCATGCGCGTCTACTTCGAATCCCATCAACAGCATTGTAATTGCGATTGATTTCTATGCTGCTATTTTAATTCATTTTTTTCTCAATAAGACTTTGGTGTGGCTGTTGAGTAGTGGCAGTGGCAAGTGCCAAGGGAACTTTTTTTTTTAATTTCTCTTTATTAATTCAAACGAGCCGCATTTGGTGTTGGAATAAGAGGGTTCAGGGCGCCCGACTAGAGCCTCTTACTTGTTTTTTTTTTTTTGTGCTGCTGTTTCAATTCAAGTTTCGGCTTAAAGTTTTAACAATTATTTTTAAAATTGAAAGAAAAAAGCGAGAAAGTAAGAATATTTACGGCACGGCGATGAGATTAGCCTTTCGCAGATATGTGAGAATAAAGAAGCTCATACAAGAAAAAAATATTTTGCCATATTTCCATAGCATCGATATGATTAAGTGGTCCGATGTTCATAAGATTTTGCATGTTTGGCTTAGGAAATAGGTATTCCTTAATTTACTTTTCGATCGATCGTTCCTATGGCAGCTCTATGATATGGTGGTCCGATCCGGCCGGCTCTGACATATGTTTTATAACTGAGAGAGAGAGAGGATATGGCTATAGCAACTCGGCTGTTGATGCTGATCTAGAATACATTTACTGTACGGGGTCGGAGATGTCTTGTATTAGGGAAAGGAAGATAATTTTAAATTTATAATTGCGCGTTAAACGTTTATCGGTTCGGTTCGGGTGTTCTTGGAGAAATCGATTTGTTTTAAGGTTCGATTCATTGTAAATAGTAATTTCTTGTTTTAATTTCTTGTAATTTCTTGTTTTATCGATTAATTATCCAACCATGTCCAGACTTAATGGATTAAAAGAACATTATCTTAGATAAATAGATATTTTTACAGACTCTGGATCGACTTAAAGTTTGGACTGTCAGACGGATATGGCTGGGTTCTGAAAGTTTTCCTGATCAAAAAAGTATTTAGGATATATTGACTGAGCAGCCTAAAATAAGAATCTATACTATTCTATTCTATTCTCTTAAAACTTTTAATAATTGCATTTATAATCTTCTGAGTTTTTGTTGGTTCTATTTTTGGATGAATTCAATGGGTTGAGCAAATTTGTATAAAGAAATTCTAACGTGACATTAAGAAATCGTGACAAATTCATTAAATTAAACATTTACTTCAGTCAATTTTACTTGATCAATTTATAGCTTCATTTAATCGATCCAGAATCGTTTTAACCTCATCTCGTAAGTCTCCAGATTAAAGGAACAGTTAATGTCTTGACTCGGTTCCAATAACAGATCGATTCTCAGATCCATATCCTATTGTTTCGGCGCACAAGTCTGATTTTATTATTTAGCTGGCGTCTTGTTGTTGTTGTTGTTCAGTTTTCTGGTCAATCATCTCACAGTAAATCATTTAAAGCAAAAGTCCGTGGAGACGTACCTCACGTTTTTCAACAATTTGTTTGTCCCCAAAATGAGATACAAGGCCAGAATGGGAACTGTTTCGGATGAGCTATACGAAGTATGCCCCGCACTTAGTTATGCAGCGCACAATCGTCTTGGCGAAACTGGAGGCATTTTTAATTGGAGAGCTACCAAAAATTGTGTCAAACTCTGTTGGAAGATTTCGAAGTGTATCTGTAGCTGAAAATACAATAAAAATGTTAACTTTCTATCGCTAGATAAAACGCAAAGAAAACTTATGTAGCGCGGATTATCGCATAAATTTTAATTACTTTATTGATATGAATTACTCTTGTTTTCATTTCCATTTCCATTTCCATTTGGATTTTCCATTTCAGTGTCTTTCGAGTCTGTAGCAGTAAAACACAAAGCCAGCCACCATGGATGCCATCAAGAAGAAGATGCAAGCGATGAAAGTCGACAAGGATGGAGCATTGGAACGTGCTCTCGTCTGCGAGCAGGAGGCACGCGATGCCAACACCCGCGCCGAGAAGGTGAGCACCCAACCATGCAACAAAAACAAAAACACAAATAACTATTTGTTGTTACAACAAAACAAAAAAAAAAAAACAATAAGAAGAAAATAATTAAAATTATTAACGACTGTTAAATTGTTAACACATGCATTTTGATAGCCATGCATTAACCTGCTCAATATTCGAATAATAATCATGCCCGGCTTCTGTTTTTTTGTTGTTTGTTTCTTACTGTAGGCCGAGGAGGAGGCTCGCCAGCTGCAAAAGAAGATCCAGACCGTTGAAAACGAATTGGATCAGACCCAGGAAGCGCTCACCCTTGTCACTGGCAAGCTGGAGGAGAAGAACAAGGCCCTGCAGAATGTAAGTACAAATTATTTCAACTCCATTCTATATGCACAAATTAGATTAGTGTTAAGTTAGATTCAGGTATTATTCATGAGGTTAGCCAACTTTTGTGTAACTCCATTAAACAACTTAGGAGCTAGCCTCATGAGAGGTGTATATCTTAAGCCTAGAGCTAGTCTTGAACTGGTCTCATGGCTGTTATAGATCATATTTCATATTGGCAAACTATACCTTGAAGCACATGGAAAAGATTTATAGCTCAATTCGAAAAATTTCACACGTAAAATGTTTAAATTAAGTTATGAGAACTTTAAATATTCCTGGAAATTTACAAGAATTTTATACAATATAATATAACATTATTATATAATGTGCAGACCTATTAAAAAATAATGTATTTTTTTTTAGAATATTTAACCATGCATAAGACGAGTAGAAGCTTTCAATATTTCTTCAGGTTATAAATACAAACAGCTTATTAGAGTTCGAACTTATAAACACCCGAATTTTTCATTATTTAATCATAATTAAATTAAAATACTTGAGCATTCGTTTTAAATGAAGAAATTTATCTGACAGAATACAAACACAAAATCTTTGCATTTCAAAATATCTAATTATATGTTAACTAGGTCAATAGATGCCTTTAGAATATTTTCTAAGAATTCCTAAGTATTAAAGTATTACTAGATATATATTCTTAATGGGCATTGTTTGAGGCCGAACCATTAGTCATTAGTCATAAGTCATTAGCTATGATATAGGAATCCAGACAAAAGCAAGAAATACACTTGAAATCAATGCTAGAATAAGATTTATAAATATATATATATATATATATAACATATATAAACGGTTTGGTGACAGCGAATTGGAGCCGGGTCCGGAAATTTGTGGCATCTGGTAATTTCACGGGTATTTTACGAGCTGATGTTAATTTGTTGGCACGTCAAATGTTTGGGGCAATGCGTTTTGTATGTTTGTGCTTTTAAATGCCATAAAAACTTCATAGATTTCAAATAAAAATGAAAATTCAAACAAAAATAACAAATAAAACGCCACGCACACGAATTTTTTTTGCCGTTGGCAACGCCTTTGGTGCGCGCTATTTTTAAATTCGTGTATGCAGCGCTTGAAAATAGCTTTGGACTGGTGCGAAAGAGACGCACAGAGAGTGCTGCATGTACGTGCGCGCGCGCGTGCGTGCGTATGTGTGTGAGTGTGTGTGTGTGTGTGTGGTGAGATCAAATAACGCAAAAGCAAAGCCAACTTGGATTTTTTCTTTTCTATTTCGTTTTCGTTGTTTTTGTTCGCTTTGCTTTGGCTTTGCCAAAATATTTGCTCGCAAAATTGTTGTTTTCTTTTTGTACAATGAAAATTGAAATAGCCGCACAGTATTTAGCACATTTTTCTTCGTTTGTTCGGTGGCCGTACGCTCTCTAGTTGCGTTTCCAAATGAAAAATACGAATTTTCATTTCATTTGATTTGGCTTTTGATTGGTACGTTCTGTCGTGCGAGATCCGAAAGTATTTCAAGGACATTTCTTTTGTTTTAGTTTGCCAATTGGCAGCGTTTCAAAAAAGACAACAAAAAAAAATTAAATAAAAAAAACAAATATGTATAGTGTTCACAGGTAACCAGCATACCAACTGTATAAGTAAATAAATGCTTATCAGACAACATAAATTCAAAAGATTTGACAAATTATTTTCAGTCGCCGCGTAGACATACTTTTATCAATAAACTTTTGCTGTTAGCCCTGCCCAGCCCCTATCTCTAAAATAAATAATTGTGATGATGAGATACAAACGACTCCGCTGAGTAATATGCGCAAATATGATAAAAGTAGAGAGCACAGCACGGCAATTAAATCAAACAGAAACACAAATGAAATTTACAGGAACAAATGGAAATGAGTAAAGAGCGATCACTCTCTCAGCGGATACAGGCATAGGGAAAGACAGAGAGAGACAGAGAGAGAGAGAGAGAGAGAGAGAGGGCAGAAGAGAGTGAGTGAGCACTTTAGTGTGTGTGGGCGTTGGGGCTGACAGTGCCACATGCTCCTTTCCCCTCCCACAACGAACGCACTGCAACACTTATACATGCACACAAATGCTTGTGCATAATGCTGACTCACTCGCACATGTGCCACACGACTGCCGCTGCCGCTTGGCAGGGGGCGCTGGCGCTGCCCCAACAACAACAAAAACAACACAATTAGATCTGCCATCAGTTTGTCCGTCCGGCGAAAGAGAGCGCACGCCGAGCTGAGCGCATGGCCACAGAAATTATCGCACAACACTTTCAAGTACAACGCCAAAGCAAGCAGCAAGCAACCGCCGGAGGGGCCGAACAACCAGCAATCGAGCCGAGCCGAGCCGCCGCACGCCGCATAATTCTAATAAATTCAATAATAAATAATTCAAATTAATTCAATAATAGGACCATTCGATTTAAAATCAATAGAATAGAAAACACTATTTTTATTTAATTAGCTTTAAATAAAATTTTAGTGATTTTCTATTACATAAATTAAATTACAAGAGCAACAACTACACCAACAACAACAATTGACGTCTATGCAAAAACGTGTAGCGGAAGTTGGCCAAATACAAAATTTTCCTTTGCTCATTTCAACGCGCGACTGAAATTTGAAAAAAGCGAAAGAAAAAAACTGTATTAAATCATCAATAAAAATAGAAAAAGACTCAAACTAACGGTACTATGAGCACAGCTGTTTGAGCAAAAGCAACAACAAGAGCAAAACAGCACGCACCAAATCACAAACAGCAACAACAACAGCAACAACAACAACAATAAAAAAATAACGGCAACATATAATTAATATGTACGAAAAAACATTAACAATAGGAACTACAAAAGTTAATAATGCATATGAGTGGCAAAAAGTGAGTTACGGCAAAAATCAAGCAGCGGCGGCGGCATTAACAACAGCTAAAACCAAGCAAAAGCAACAAAAGCCCCAGCATAGCAATAAAAAAACATTAGCAGGCAGTGCAAAAAATGCAACAGAAACACAAGTAAAACATTTAAAACCGGCAAAAACAACACCAACAGCAACAGCAACGACAACAACAACAACATTAACGCCTTCTTTTAAGCCGGCAACGCAAACGCCGCTAGTCAAAAAATACGTTGGCAGCGCGGCACGTCGTCAAACGCTTGCGCACCAAATAAAGCGCGCACACCGCCATCTATTGACCAGCGGCGGCAACGATAAGCAGCCCGTTAAGCAACAGCGTAATAATAAAAAAACATGTACATTAAATCGTATAGTGTAGAATGCAAAGCATATTGTTGTTCCTTACCACAAATATGCTTTACATTTTATGCAAAGTAAGGCAAACGTGCACAAGGCAAATGCATGCGAAATGTGCAATTGCAATTGCCTTGTGCATACTTGTCTGGTCACACTTTTACGCTATCGATATTGATATATTGCAAATCAGCTGATTTGCACGATATTTTAATTGAAAATATCGATATCGATAAGTAGTAATATCAACAATTCCATATAAAGCAGGTAGCAGCGCAGCTGCTGCAGGACAGCAGACAAAAACAACAAAACAACAGCAGCAGCAGCAACATCAGCGCAATAAACGCATAATAAATGCAAATAAACAGTTCCATAGCCACAAAAGTGATAATCAAAAGCATAAGCAAAAAAAGCAACAGCAAAGCAAGCGTGGCAACTGCGGCCACAAAGCAGCCGACGGCAACAAATCGGAGCTCTCCTCGCGCTGGTGCTCCATCGAGGAGCAGCTAAATGTGCTAGATAATCTCCTCCACTACGATGAGCAGGCAGAGCTCTATTTAGCACAACTCTACCACAATTATCAACAAGTCCAGCACTCGACTGTTGGGGACAGTGACTCGCAGATTTCGGACAACTGGAGCTGGAGTGACTACGACCTGGACATGTCACAGAACAACAGTGTCGACGACGACGCGCTGTCCAGCACCAGCGGTGCGGGCAGCCACAGCACCAACAATTCCAATACTTCGCCGCTGGTGCCGTCCTCTCTTAAGCGGCGAGGTCATCAGCATCATCCACGTTTTGCGGGTACACGGCGTCCCAATGTGCCCAATGTCCAAGAAATACTGGCGGCCCTCTACCGCGGCGACTCCAAGGGTGTGCTGTCCAATCTGCGCGGCGAGACGCAGCCGCAGACAGAAGCAGACGTAGAGGTTGACCAGCCCGCCGCTGTGGTTAGCCGCAGCACACTCAGCCTGCCGCTGAGTGAATCGGTGACAAACTCTCTGGGCAGCAACAGCCCAACCCCGACCGATGAGAGCAGCATGCTGGACGAGACGAGCGCAACGCCAGCAACAACAAAGAGCGCTGCAGCCGAACAGGAGCCACTGGCTGCCACTGTCAAAAAGAAGAAGAAGCGCGACAAAGGCGACAAGGAGAAATCGGAGCGCAAGAAGAAAGCCTCATCGTCATCTGGTGGCAAACGTGAGCGGAGCAAACGCCAGGGCGGCAGCGGCGGCATCATGGACGTCAGCAGCGACAGCATTGCCACAGATCTCAGTGCGGGCGCCATTGATGAGGGCATTGTGCTGAACACCGAGGATGAGGATACACAGGCGCAGGAATGGGCCAAACTGCGCTGCACCAGCGAAGCGGCTGAGATTGTCGCCGAACGGGAGGCGCGTCGCAACAAAGGACGCTGCGCCGATTATCCGGGCCTGGCATTCGGGCGCTCCATCTTCAGCTCCGACACAATGATGAAGTTCAACATAATACGCAATGAGCTGCACAACATCATGAATACGCAGCTGAAGCGGGTAATTAGCGGTGTGGGGAGGGGGAGGGGGTGCTCCAATTCATATACATATACACATGTATTATCACTAATCATATTTATATTTCTTTCTCTTCAAGCAGCCTTTGTTGTCGCCCCTCAGAAAGCGTTTTAGCCTGAGCAAAAAAGTTAATAATACAAAGAGCAAAACATAAGTTTGGTTAGGTTCACAGTGAATTTTGTCTACTCAATCTATGAATGTTCCAATTTTGTTCTGTCTTGTGCTCTTTTTCGCACACACACACATGTATATAATATATATAAGTGTGTACCTTTGTATTTGTGTGCATTGCAAAGCGATTACGTCGCCGTCGCCGTCTTCGCTTTGCTTTCTTTGCTGCTCACCGAATTCTGTTTCTGCTTTAACCCTTCGATGGCCCGCCAAGTCGTTTGTCATTGCAATTGTTTTTTTCAACTTGTGTGTGAATCTTGACCCCGTTCTCGCATACAAACATATGCATATACTTTGGCTTAATCGCTCGACAACTATCGTGAAGGTTTTTCTTTCTACGTGTTACACACACTCGCACGCACATGCATATGCTTTTCCATTGCTCAGCGCGAAGGTATTTCAACTGTTTATTCAGCTAAAACAAAAACATGCATATTTACTTAATTGCAGGCAATTGTTTAATTAGTTACGCAATTGAGCGCTCTGTCTTAGCACATTGCTTGACCGGTTAACGGTAACTCGTGAGCACCTGTTGCTCTCTCAGCGTGGGTGTCACTAGCTCTTTCTGCCGCTCTTTGCCTCTCTCACTTTATCTGTGGCGGCGCCCAAAAAGGCAGCAGATAAAAAAACAGACTTAATATTACAACTGCTACAATTATCAGTGTTTATACACACCCCCATACTCACAAACACACAGAATTGTTTTAGCTGTTGGACTCCATAAAAAGCAACAGTTGGCTTACAGCAGCTGAATACTGAATACTAAAAAAAAGTTTAATACGTTTTCTGCCCAAAAACGTATTTCTTTTAAACTTGGCTCGCCAATTTGACGCGCACCACTCAATTATTATTTATATTAAATTAAATGTATTCTCGGTGTGCACACACTCTCACACACACACGTTCTCTACGTGTTCTCACAGCCGCTGCAAAACGCCAATGACCTTCGTGCGACGAGTGTGTACCCCCCACTTTGGTAGTGTGTGCACATTTGTGTGGCACTGACGTTTACTTTTAATTTCTTTTCAATGCCGAACGCTGTCCAAAAATGGGCAGGCGTGCTTATTTTAATTGGAATTGACCATTGGCAATCGTCGTTTGTATTATCAGCAATTATGTCATTTGCCAAATACAAATTGTCTCTCCACTTGTTGCGCGCGCACGCGGTTTATCGTTATCGATATCGAGCTTTGCACAATCGCACTAGGACCACATCCGAACGCAAATAGCAGCAGCAGCAGCAACAACAACAACCTGCTGCAAACACACATCACGGCAACGCACCGACGACTGATTAGTCATTTGTGCTGCTCCTGGTTGCGTGTTGATAAGCCTGATAGAGCACCGGCATTATATGCTGTATTATACAATTATCTTGTTTGTTGGCAGGGGTAGGTGCTGGATGGGGAGGGTTTACATAAACGCATACACACACACAGATATTGATGACAGGTCGCTTACTCATTTCTACTACATATGGGCAATTGGTTAGCCGTCTTTGTCGCTCGCAATTTTGCATAATATTATTTGCATTGGAGAAATAAGGCAAAAATCTCAAATATTTCTTCACTAATTAATGCAAACAACAACAAACATGTAGACTGAATTTTTAGCGGCTTTAACAGGTTTTCCAGCGGGAAAGCGGCATATACACACTGGCTAGCGCACTCGCACTCACACACACGAACATATGGAGAACACGACACATAGGCGAGGCACTGACAGACTGGAAAGTCGCACACATACAGACAGCAGTCGTCTCTCTCACACAACGTATAAACCACCACCGCCGCTTTGTAGGCATGAGCATGCAAAGTGTTTCAGCGGTTCATTTCCAGTTACGTACTCACAAATGCCAGTCGCAGACTCGCGTCGTTTTATCGTCTTCGTTTCTCGTGTGTGTGCGTGTAGTTTCTGTGCAGCTTACTGCTATTAAATATCAATATTGAAATAATTTAAACATTAATTTATAATTCAACTATAAATGTGTATCAAGTGCGCCAGAATCTAATCGGCCCTTCACACAAAATCCAAAAAGAAAAAAAAAACGGCGACAAGCAGTAACAACGAAGCAAACCAGTAAAAGAAGAAAAAGCAGTAGAAGAGAAAGAAGAAAAAAACCGGTGGTTAGCGCATACTCTTGTCTGTGTCGTCGCTTCGTTCGGTCGTTCGTTCTACTACGTGCGTGTGTTGGTGTTTCACAGTTTGTAAATTAAATATAATTCTTGGTGCTGCCATATAGAAAGAAATTTGTATTTTTTAATAAATACATAAAAAGCGGGCAAAAGCCAATATAAGTGTGCTTCAGTGCCAACTGCCAATCGCCAAGAAACCAGCCAAAAAGTATATCGCATCTGCCTCTGCCGCCTACCAACGCAAAGTCCAAGTGTAAACACTTACCAAACACCCACAAGCCCAAGTACAAGCACAAGCACAAAAATGACGACCAGCATTCCACAAGGTACACTTTTGGATGTACTCAAGAAGAAAATGCGTCAGACCAAAGAAGAAATGGAAAAGTATAAAGATGAATGCGAGGAATTTCACAAGCGCCTACAACTTGAAGTTGTCCGACGCGAAGAAGTAAGCCAACTGGACATTAAATACAAATTTCAATTCAATTCAAGTCAAAATTATGTTTTTGCTGCTACTTTTGGTATATCAATTTTGCATAAGAACCAAACCATGGCTCAAGATTAGTCCAGCGCAAGCATTTCTGAGCAGTGCCAACGTTTCCAATGCAAATACATGCGCACCTATACAGACACTGTGCGACACACAAATACGAATACAAGTTCACTGACAGACTGTCACAGACCTACGCTCACACTCTTTGTGCGCTCTTGCGCTCTCTCTGTCGCTCTCTTTCTTCGTCTCTCGCCATATTTGTGTTGTTTTGTTCCTCGATGGTTTTCCTGTCTATTGGCATATCTTTTGTTAAAAATTTCAATTTGCTCTATATATTTTTATAGGCGTTTGTGTTACTTTTTAGTTTTCGTACATTCTAAAGTCTTGTTATCTGCGTGACCAAATTCATTCACCTTTCAAAATCTTTGCTCGTTGTCTTATCGAAACGGGGCACAAACATACTTACATGGCATTCATTCTACATTAGCATATCTTGTATGCCTCAAAACACAGAATACAAAATCTATAGAGTGATATGTTTTGTCGCTGAGAAAGCACACGAAATAATAAAAAAAACAAAGAAGCGAAACCGGCTCTTCTATTCAGTTCAAACCCATAGTGTTTAGCTAGCGGTGTTCTAAATTCGATTAATTATGATTTTTAAGCCATGGCCAGCAATAAATGGCTTCTTTGCGTTAACGTTTCTATGTGTGTGCTTCATCATTTTTGGGCACAAGCCCCCATACAAACGCTTTTATATTCGCTTAATTCGAATCTAATTAGACAATTGCGCGAGCGAACCAAGGGCTGTAAATACTTTTGTATGTGTGTATATACATATGTATCTAGGTATATACATATCTGTGTGTGAAATCACAGTTTGCACTGCAATGACAACATTGTTGACGTCATTTTTTACGAAGTTGGTCACAGGCCTTAAGCCTTAAATTGTTGAATAGCTGCAAAGGAATATTTCAAAAACGGAAATTTACAATGCTTTTTAAAATGTAACGGCACACCCCAAATTTGAAATTCGTTTTCATTATCCACATTCTCATTTAGTAGTTCATTTCGTCTGTGTCTGTCATCTGTGCCCCGTTAGTTGTTAGTTTTTGCGCTCATTTTTCCACGCTTTTGTCAAGTGATTGACATTTAGTTCAGCCCCTTCTCCTTTCAGTTGCACAAAAGCTAAAACAAAACAAAATGTGCTTTGTTGTTATATATACATTTTTTTTTTAAACAATGCTTTCAATGTCATTTGCGTGGTCCCAGCAGCGTTTATTCTCCCTCTCCCCTACACTCTCTTCGCTGCTTCTTTTTTCTTGCTGTTGTTGTCATGCAATTGAACACTGATAATTTCAATGCCTCATTGTGACAAATTGGTTTTGATTTGTTGCCTTTTAGGCAGGCACATACTCTCTCGCTCTCTTTCTCTTCTGTTAGAGTATTTCGTAATGAAATGTCAGACTGTGCGAGATTACAACATACACACACATGTCAGTAGCTATACACGAAAGCTGACTGATACGAAACGTTAGCATATTTTATGCTTCAGAGATCGCTACTTTAACGCTTTACAAGTTGGAAGTTGTCTACTTTGTGTTTTTATGGCTTATTTTTCGGTTCATAATTAAAAATGCATCATATACAACATTTAAACACACCCTACGCACTCGAACGTAGCCGCTCGTCTTTCAATTTTTGTTGTATTATTGTTTTTGTTGCCACGGCAACTTGAGTCAAATAAAAAAAAAAATTCAAGGTGTGTGTGACTAAGCCGTCAACAATTTTTTGGTACAATTTTTTACCCATGCAGCTTTTGCATACTCATGATTTTATTATTTGTTGTTTTGCTTCTTTCATTGTGCATTTTGCCGGCATTTTTTTTTTATAAATTTTGCCGTAACCCCTCCCCGAAACTTGTTCTGTTTAGCTTTGCAATTTATGTTAGAGTAGAGCTAAAAAAAACGTTTAATCTTCAATACGTTTTGTTAATGAGTTCAAAGCAAAGACGAAAATTTGCCTAGTTCTATCTCTGTCCCACACATTTAACGTACAGCGACTCCCGCTATTTTTAAACGAAACGAAACTCAAGCTGAGTATTTTGTTGTTTTTTTTTTTTGGCATTTTTTTTTTGCTGTTGCTTCATCAACGGTTTTGTTGTGTGACTTTCGTATGTGTTTTGGAAAGCTTCGCTGCTCCCCCTATACGAAATGCTTTTTATCGTTAAACTTACGCTACATACGTGTGTGTGTGTGCGCTTTGTATGCTGCCTGCCTATCGACTGTTTGGACGATGACGTAAGCCAAAGCGGCGGCGCGGTTGGTTTTGGTTCCAATTCATAATCAGACGATACTTTTACGAAGCGCGTTCTAAGCGTCACTCATGCAATATATGTATGTACATATACGTATATATATGCATATGTATGTGTTTACTGCAATGCAATGCAAAATTGGCAATATAGCCATCTCGCGCCGAGTACACCTGGACTGGACTGCCTTGTCCAATTGTTGCCGCTTTTGGTCAAAGCCGTTTTTAGCCATTTTTGGGCGTGTGCCGTGTGCTGTGTGCTGCACAAACATTTAATTCATTTACGCTTTTCAGCATTTGTCATTCTTTCTCTCTTGCTCTCATGCACTGTAAAAGGCAATCGCCGCATCTCGCATGCGGCGGCGTCAATGTCAAATATTTTCCGTTCTTTAATGGGCATATGCTTTATGCTTCGTGTTCTGTTTTTGGAAAATACTGTTGCTGGGAAAAACTGGCTGTACAAATTGTTTTCATTTTTGGCAAGGTTGTTTTCAAACGCGCTGACGTCATGCGCGTGGCGCGATTAGCTGTTGCCTATTTTTCGGGGTTGCCAACATGACAACAAGTGTAATCGATGTTTGTCGTGGTGGCATCCCCCCCCCCCCCCCCCCCCCCCCCCCCCTAAATTGCCCACAATATTAAGTGTTATCGATAGCACAAGCAAACAAACATTTTTTTGCCAGCTTTGGGGCGTTGACGCCGGCGACCTTGTTTAATTAACTGGCTAAAACGCTTGCTCTGATGAACGGTGCGACAAAAAGGTGGAAGGAAAAAAGAAGAAAACTCTACTTTCAGATGGAACACAAGCTGCGGTCGAAAACAGTTAAATTTCTATATATACATATTAGATAGTTTCTTTCATGAGAGAGCGCAAATATCAGGGACACACAATTTTTATACCAAAAGTAGCAATTATAAACAATTAAATTCGAGTGTATTTCATGCTTTAGTTCCTAAGTTCTTAAGTTAGTATTAAGTATATACTTAGTTTTTAAGTTCGTTTGTACGTTTGCTATATTGTCTTGTTCGTTCTTGTCGAACATCGAATATTTGTTTTATAGGCCGAATCTGAGGTCCTTGCATTGAACCGTCGCATTCAATTGCTCGAAGAAGACTTGGAACGCTCTGAGGAGCGTCTGGGTTCCGCCACAGCCAAGCTGTCGGAAGCCTCTCAGGCCGCCGATGAGAGCGAACGGTTAGTACAAATTTCTATTTATTATTATTTTTTGTAACCTTTAAATTGTCAAATTGTATACATAAATAATTAATTAATTAGTCTACAGCCTATATAAGCAAACCTAAGTATCAAGTTCAAGTTCTACCTACGGTAAATGTATATTTAAAATGCCCTTTTATTTATAATTGCTTTCGAAATTTAGGATACGAAAAGCGCTTGAAAATCGTACAAATATGGAAGACGACAAAGTAGCTCTATTGGAGAACCAATTAGCGCAAGCAAAATTAATTGCAGAAGAAGCTGATAAGAAATATGAAGAGGTATAATTATCTATTGCTTTAAACTCGAGAACTCTCGACGTTAGGGTATTAGGGTTAATAGGGTTATCTTCTCGTCGTTTTCTTTTCATACGTTCTATTGAGTTCCATTTGAGGTTAGGTGCGTCGAAATTACCGTTACTAATTAGGTTGTGGGTTAAATACTGCGCTCTCTTACAAACTCCAAACATATATAATATACGTAGGGTATGTTTAAGATCTCTTAACGATTCTTGTAAACAGCTTTTAGCTTTTAAGCTCAACGTCGACCGCAGCCAACAACAACAACAACAACAACAAAAGTGGATTCATTGAATATATTGTATATAAATATTGTAAACTTAGTTAATATTTAGGTATACACATATTGTTATTTGAATATGGCATGTGTCTAGCTTATAATAGTAGTGTCTTAGTAACTCGCTGTTTAATATCTATGTCTTGTATGTGAAAAAGCTAAAACATTGCCTTGTGCTTTATATCTGTGTAGAGAAAACAGATTTACACTTTCCTCAAAACATCTGGATCCATATTTTTGGTGAAAGCTTCCAAAAACTTGTAAACTATACATTGGAAAGGAAAAACGATAATATTTTTCCAACTACATAATAGTTTTTAAACTCTACACGTAATTCCATTAATATACGAAAATCTCCACTTATACAAAAACTCTACATTTTACATAATTTTAAAACTCTACAATTTAGATAAATGTTGAGCGTAAAGAAACTCTTTAACCAAAAAAATAAGCACACAAAGCACTGTTTCAGCTATTCGTACCTTTGTACTATTTGTATTTATTTATTTTACTTACTGAACTGTTAAACTCAACAAGCAACAACCAATTCTTGTTTCTTTTGCAAAATTCTCTAAATCTTGATCTGTACTATGGAACACCACTAAACAAAAACAAAAACCAAAAAAAAAAAAAAAATCGTATCAAAATGTTATCTTTCAACATAATTCTTGTTCGAAACTGTGTCTACCTCTGTGTACTACTGCGCATCCATGTGTTTGTCATAATCTACAACAACAACAACAACAACAACAACAACAATTCGACACTTTCTACACGGATGTGGATGTGATGACGTCGAACGATTCATCTGATTTGGGGCTGTACCAATATAATTGAAATGACAAATCATCGATATAACAACTTGGTCACTGTCTTCTATGGGCTTGGTCGTAACGTGGTCATCCTGTAAAATATCAAATATATCTATATATATATGTATGTGTATATATAGTGCTCGCAAGATTCTTGAGAATCGCGCCCTTGCCGATGAAGAACGCATGGACGCTCTTGAGAATCAGCTGAAGGAAGCGCGTTTCCTTGCTGAGGAGGCTGACAAGAAATACGATGAGGTGCAGCTAAATACCAATTTAATAAACTTAAGCAACAATAACAACAACAGTAACAGTAACAGCAAACCATGTCACCCGAACACAACAAACACAACAATAACAACCAACAACAACAATAACAATGCAACTAGTACTGCTGCTGCTGTTGGTGAAGCTTCAACATTGTCCTCCACAACACCATCAACACACAGCGAACACAACAATAATGATAGCCACAAACCTAATGATACTTGATCCGTCTCTGATTTCTATGCCAAAAGCAAGTTGTATTCAACTTTGGTCTTAATTGAGCCTAGAATAGAATTTGGCACAGGAATCGGCGGCTGAAAACACAGGTGCTGATATTCTAAAACTTGTGCTTAAATCGATGACAATGATGATGTTAATGATGATGTTGATGATGATGATGATGATGATAAAAGTGCAGCTATATAGCTTTAGAAATGCTGGCATGCCGCTGCCTTAGCCGCCCGTTAAACGATATACTTATCTATATATACAAATGCTATATACAAATAAAATATAAATATAAAAAGAAAAAGAAGTTAATTAACTGTATTAGTCGATCCATTGTATTTATGTGTATATATATATATATATATATATATATATATATATGCTGAATATGATATTTTTTGGAATGTAATGTCTGAACAAAGTCTAGAGTCTGTGTCTTTTGTAGAAAACAAAACCAACAATAAATATAGAGCGATATGTAAAGTAAATGTTAAGCGATCCAATACAAATTGTTAATGTACTCAAAATGTGCTGGCAAGCAATGAAATAACGATTGATATATATATGTAAACATATCCCAATTGGTTAAATAGTTTGCAAATCATTTTAAAGTGGCCCGTTAAACAATATAAATTCTATATATATATTTTTTTTTTTCTATTGTATATTTGATATGTCAAACATTTGGTTGGGTTTATATTTGAATTTTGATGTAAAAATTATAAATGGGAATTGTGTAAAGCGTAAGCAGATTCTAAAACAAGTCCACAAATATGGCATACACAGCAAATATGTAACACATATAACATTTAATTGAATTATAACATTTTTGCAATAAAGTTAACAATGAAAACTACTTATAAACATTTAATTCTGATACGTTGGAGTTGTGCAGTAGTTGGTTTTCCACTCAAAGCTGTTGTACATTATAAAAAGAGCGCATACTCAGCAGCAGGCATGAATTTAGGTCTCAACAAAACATATTTATAGATCGTTTATAAAGAAATGCAATTATATATGACCTGAACTTGGCAATACAATACATATGTAATGATAGTCTAGGACTAAACACTTTAAAAACAGTTCTTGCAGAGGAGATTCCTAAAGGTAACAGAAAAATCTAGAGAAAGCAGGGAATCGCTCTAAACGAACATTTAAAGGAATAAACTACAAGTCCAATAAATATATTTATTTATAGCTCTAGCTTAGCTAAACTTATTATATAAGCTTTTTGCAACACGATTTGCCTTGTACCTAAATTTATTGTGTTAGCACATTTTGTTTTTTGCCCCAACTTGTTGCTTACGTGTTCCGTACGTCAATCATATCGGCTAAATAGAGGCTATTGATAAACTGCGAGAAACGATAAGCAACCGCCTGGCTATCTATCTGTATACGGCAAATACATTCATTTTGTTTCGCAGAAGCTTGAACGGAAAGCAAAGGAGAACAAGAAATACAAATTGCCAGTTGACTGATAAGCGCTCCGGCGATTCCCTCTTCGAGAGCGAAATGGGAATTTGGAATGGAGCGTGTTGCATGGGCCGTTAATTTTTATATTTAGCGCGCTCGGCGCAATAGTTGGCCATCGTGACATAAGCAGCTGGGCAAAAAAAAATACAGCACAAAAAAAACAACAGAAAAAAGTGTTGCAAAACTCCTCGATAATGAATCAAATAATTGTTTGACCCGGGCAAACGACACTCACGTATGCATACATTCGTTTATGCGTAAATGTGAGTATGTAAGGCCTCTGCTTGGCTCTGACTCATACGACTCATTGCTGGGCCGTTCAGGTTATGAGTACGACTCTCTTTAAGGAGATTGGTTCCAGGTTTTTCGATGCGTATTGCAGGCCTTTTGGCCTGAAACCCGAACCTGTGCTGAGCCGAATGTTATTTGTGAAACCTTCGCAATGCGTTCGTTTTAAATAATTGTATTCGGCGGTGTTTCAACGCTTTTGCATATGACTCGAACAGGAAATTCAGTTTTGGTTAGCGTGTAATTAAAATCTATAGAAGCAGCGCTTCTCGCATATCAAAATACACACGAGTCGCCAGCTGCGGCGCCAGCTACCAATTTGGCAAGGCTAATTTCCTCAAGCCGCTCTCTATTTTAAAAAAATTCATTTAACTTGTTATCTACACATGTTTTTGGTTAAAATCGAACTTTAACAGTTGTAATCGCGCTTGTTAGTCATATTGTTGCTTAGCCAATAATACTCGAACATCTTTTGATTCCGTTTCGCAACAGTCACAATTTCCTGAGAAAAGCTACATAGTTTTTTTTTTACTGTTTGCCTAAATTTCACAGAGAAGCTGAAGTATTTCCATAAACGAATCTAATTTCCGTTTCAAAAGACAGTTACTATAAACAGCCAAAGTAATTAGAAATTAGTTTTTGAGGCTCAATTACATAAATTCTTCCGCTCCATAATGTACAACTGCAGCAAAGAGAAAACACAATTCCATCAGGTTGTTTTTTTTTTTTTTTTTTTAATTATAAATAACTAGTCTTAAGCAGCCATGCAAATTGAGTACATTACCAAGTTAAGGATAGCTTAAAGTACCTAAGACACAACGATAAGAAGCACAAGTTATCAGACACCAAAATAAACAACAAAATACTCACAAAACACACGCAAAAATAACAAATGATTTCACAATTATTCGATTGTTTATTACTAAAAAGAAAATCCTTTCATACTGAAAACGTAACCTGTATATTTCATCAAAACAATTGTTAATACTAAATTCGTGTAATATGAATTGACATCAAATTTTAACGCATTTTCTATGTTCTTTGTGTATATTCAAAAACGACGTCGATTGTAAAATTATGTATAAAACTCAACAAATGAAATCACAAACATGCATATAAATATAAATGAAAGGTTGCCCGTAAATTGGCCATGGTTGAAGCTGATTTGGAGCGTGCCGAAGAACGTGCCGAACAGGGTGAAAAGTACGTTAAAAATTATTTTGAAATTTCAGTTAAATGTTGCGCCAAAGCTTCCGAATTATTGTGCCTAAAACAAAATTAAACAAACAGTGTGGCCATAGTTATATAAGTTTGTTTTTTGCAGCGCTGTTAACTAACAGGTTAACCCTATGTTAAAAAAAAAAAAAAACCAACGCAACCTAACCTTATTTTTGTTTAAAGTGCATTTTTGCACACTTTTAGTTTCTTATTATTGTTTTTTTCCTTCGTTTTTCTTAGCTAGCTAGCTTGGCATATACTTTAAAAAATTGGTAAAAAATGTGAATATTTCTATAAATTAATGAATGTGTGTTTAACGCGCATGTTTTCTAGTTTAGAAATAACTTATGCAAAAAGTTCACCACATGCACAACATATTCACATTTTCTGCCAAATGCAATTGTAAACATAATCGTTAATCAAACTAATGGAAATACCCTTTCTTATATACGCTCAATGCCTAACCCACAATGCGATACCTGTTGCCGTGTTTGTTGCTATGTCTGTGTTCTCTAATATCCCGCCTGCCTGTTTATGCCCCGCCCGCTCCGACTGCTGTTAACGCCTGGTAACGCCTCGCCTGAAGGTGGCCAGAAAATTAGTGCTCATGGAACAGGACTTGGAGCGTTCCGAGGAAAAGGTTGAGCTTAGCGAAAGGTTTGTCTTGCTTTTTCTGTGTTCAAATACTAACTGCACTTGAGTGAAATTCAATTTTGAACGCAATCCAAACGCCAGTCAAAAATTGACAATATGTTTATTTATATTTTGCATAGTGTTGAAAAATACCAACAAAACAAAAATTGCCCTCGGGCAAAGAAAACGTAAATAAAAAGTGAAATCGCATCAGTGAAATATTGTCGAGTCCAACAATTGTTGTTATTATAAATATTTTTTTTTATTTATTTTTTTTTTATTCGAAATACTTGGCACATGGTGCTATGCAGACCTTCGTCTGTTTTAACAGTCATGATTGGGCTGTTTCCCATTTCTTCTACTCTTTTGTAGCCTTCAGACTCAAAGATTTGAAAGTAAAGTGTCAACTTTTTTTAGTTTGTCTCTTCATTGTTTTTCTTTGGCGTTGGCGATAAAAAATTGTGTACAAAATGTTATTTAATTACCGCATGAAACGCGCTTTTTGTGTTCCCATGAGGAAAAAAAAACGATCGAAATCTATTTGTATAAAATATCCATCTAATGTGTTTTTTTTTTCATTTTGTGTATAGCAAAATTGTGGAGCTTGAGGAGGAGCTGCGCGTTGTCGGCAACAACTTGAAGTCCCTGGAGGTCTCTGAGGAGAAGGTTAGTACGAAATGTTGCGATTCATTGATATTAGTCCATTCTACATTCTGCTTGATCACAAATTGATCAATATTTAATCAAATTATTTGACATCATTAAAATCTATATATTTTGTATTATTTACTTTTACATTACAACAAAACTATATATGTATACCCCTTATCCCGTTACCATCGACAAAACCCATAAACAACAACATCAACAACAACAATAAATAGGCCAACCAACGTGAGGAAGAGTACAAGAACCAAATCAAGACCCTGAACACTCGTCTAAAGGAGGTAGATACCAACAACAAATTTCTCATGCAATTTGCTAAAGGAGTTTCCCAGAGCTGTGGAAATGCAATCAAAACCAACCAGCGATATTTCTGTTACATTCTGTTTTATATATTGTTGTTGTTTATGTTTTTTCTTTTACTTTATTGAGCGCACATGACCGCTCAAAGGCCTTCAAAAGCCACTGTACAACACTGGTGGCTACGCGTGCAATCGTATAAAATGTCTACCGACAGTGCAGCTTGTACATGCGCGCCCTTAAATATGTTTATTCCAATATGTTTACTAATTGTTATTTATTTTCTATTTTATTTTCATATTTTGTTAACACGCTCCGCTTAAATGTTGCTGATAAACCAATTATTTTTGTTTATATTCTTTTGATATATAAATAAAAATAATTTGTGCACTGGATTTTTGATCAACACACCAAAAACGGCTTAAACTTGCTCCCCCACACCCCCCGCTCCCTCTGAAACGCCTCAAATTGTGCATGCATGAACAATTTATGCAATTTATGTTTTGCCTAACCCAAACATTTATTTCCCACCAATACAACCAACGACCACAAAATAAACAAATTAGGCTACACAAAAAGAGGAAACCTTTGAAACGCAAATCAAAGTTTTGGATCATTCCTTGAAAGAGGTATATGCACAATTGTATACTATATATTCTACAGTATTTGTAAGCGGTTAAAGGTTAATATTTGTGGTCTCTGGTGTTGGTAAATGCATTAATTTTAATCTTGTTTTTATTTTTATTTTTTTGCTAAACGAAAAAAGAAAATATTAAATTGCACAAATCGTTATTCTCAATTTTAAATTAATTGTACATAGTCGTCACGACAAATTCGTTATTCGACATTTGATATTTTCTTTTTAACACAAAAAAAAAAAAAAAAAAAAAAACTAAACTAAAATAGATAAAAGCGCAATTGCCCAAACGTCTTGGAAAAAATACAACAAATAAATAAACAAGCAGAAATTGAAATGTATATCAATAGCGTGCATCATGGCAAGTATTTATATTTGGGACGTGTGTGTGTACATTACTTGAAAATTGAAAACAACTTTTTGTGCATTAATTGCAAATGAACCAAAACTGACGTTTTACAACACTGCTCCGTTATGGACATCTCAGTAATCGTACCTGCTGCTGCTTCGTAGTAGCAACTGTACCCAAACATTTTCAAAGAATATTAATTGTGATTGTTAAATGCAAAACGACTTGAAAAATAATTAATTAATTATAGTATATTCGGTAGATATTTTATTGCCAAAGCACAAACACACACACACACACAAACACACACACACTGCACACAAACACGCACTCCGCACACAATAATGATGATGATGATGATGATGATGATAATGATGTTTGTCCAAAGCACTGTTATTGATATACCAAATATTTGTTGTATATTTCTCGACGTCTAGGCACGCGAAAATCAAAAAATTGTTGAACAGGAGCTCATACAGTTCAAATTAAATGTAGAAACTGTAAGTCGCCGCAGCCTAGAGCATTCGTTTTTTTTTTTAAATTAAAATTCTGCTGATGTTTAAAAAAAGTCGAAATAGAAATTTTAACAGCATTTCGAATTGGCGCCCATTATCAATTTGTTTTACATTTTGTCTTTTATGCAGTGACTGCGTAGCGTCGTACAGAAATAGTTGTAGTTAATATATTATCTACACTCCCGTAATATTATTTAATTTGTCAAATTTAGGTTTTGTCTAAACAAAAACTCCCTCCAAAAATATATATTAAAAATAAAGTGTCTACAAGTTTGTAAGCATATTTATTAAGTGATCAAAATTGTGTTATTTTAGTTGTTATGATGTTTATTGAATGTTATTATCTATATCACACATTCATTATATAAAATATTTAATTAATTCTGCATACACTAATACTCATATGTCATAGAAATTATATACTTACCGCTGGTTTTGGTAGCAAATGTTGGGAAGCTTCTTTTAAGTATAATAAGCGTAAAATTTGCAATTCCATTGAAACGCAAAGAATGTAGCATTGCACTTTGCAACACTGGCGTTTCAACAGAATTCGAATGTTAACCAACATGAACAGTGCGTGTACTTAACAGCTTGTGAAAGTTGTATTGTTCATGTTGGTTATATTTGTAGCAATATTTTCGTTGCTACTTGTATCGAATTAGCGTAAAAGATTTTTACTAATATAACTTAATTTTAACTTCTATTTACCAACACTTAAAGGCTGAGGCACGCGCTGAATTCGCTGAACGTTCCGTTCAGAAATTGCAGAAGGAAGTCGACAGGCTCGAAGGTATGTCTGTTAAAGAATATTTTCTTATTTCCCTAAGACTTTAAAAAGAAATTAGAAAGTGATAGCACAAATGGTACAAATCTTGTTATATTTATATATTTGTAGCAGTATTTCAATTAATTGCAAATATACAAGTTGTAGTTATTTGAGCATTTTTATTTAATAGAATACAATTTTTCACATTTATTTATATATATTTACATATTTATAAGTAGCTGCAAAATTAAGTTCCTTATTCCAAACCGAAGTTCCTTATGTTAGTCCAGATTTAAATTTATTAGTTTTATTTCTATACCAATTAATATATATTTTTGTGTTTATTTTTCATATGATTTTGTTCGTTGTTGTTCTTAACCGAAAAAAAAAAAAACAAACAAATTACAACTTATGTGCCGCTTGTACGCTCCCCGCCCGCCTCACCGCCTGCGAACCGCCAACGCCCTAATGTTTATTGTTTATTATTTATGCATGCCTCGTGTTGCTGTTTTTGTTATTGTTTTAACAAAAACAAAATAAATATAAAAAAACAGACGACTTGTTGAACGAACGAGCCAAGAACAAACTGCTGCAGGAGGAAATGGAAACCACTTTACATGACATACAGAACATGTAAACAAATAATTTGCTTATGTAAATTAACTAAACTGCCTGCTTTGACGTCAATACAGAAAACTGGCGCTTTCCATATTATAATAATAGAAACACCCACACAAACACAAACACACACACACACGCACACGCACACGCACATTCTGAGACACACAGGACAACACCAAGTGTCTTCCATGCAAAGAAAGAGTGAACGCCAATTTTGATAAACTCTAAAGGAAAACGTTAATTATTAAGCGGTAAACTCAAAGAAAAGCAGACAAGAAAGAAAAGAAAAAATATCACCATAAAAAGACAAAAAAAAAGACAAAAGAAAATTGTTCTCTTGTAGCAAACGCATTCCAAATTTACACATGTTTGCATAGATGTGTGTGTATTACGCACACGCTCATGCATACTTTCAAGCAGTGCAAGCCGTTGACTGGGCGCTGTCCGCGTTGCGCTGTGAATGGCACACGCTTGGTCGCTGTCATTTCGAATGGCAAAAATGGCGGCACTTTTAACACTCGATGCTTTATACAAAACTGTTGCAATATTTTGTTTTAACATTTTCTTTCTTTCTTTTTCTTTGCTTTTTCTGCCTATACTTTTTGGTTTGATATTGATTGAACAATAATTATTAAAAGATGACAAAAGACACAACTTGCAAATTAGTTTACGTGTTATTATTTATACAATTTGTATGTAAAGTAAAAAGGGAAAGATTTGTATTTTTGTCGCCAGCCTAACTACTGTATTAATTATGCTAATATTTACATTGTTTATACAATTTAAACAAATCGTGTATGCAGAACGTTGTGTAATATTTGCTTATTTATAAGTTGCCACGCCTATTATTTAGAAACAAATTCAAAGCAAATACATAAACAAATAAATCAAATGCAAACAAACAAATACGACAAGAAAAATGACCCGCACACAGCGCACTTCATTCCAATTTTAAGCATTCACAATTAGACAGTTCTTAACATCCTTCTATATATGTATTTGAAATTGAAAAAAATCAAAAACAAAAAAAAAAAAAACAATAAGAAAAATTATTATCTCTTCGCTAACTGGCTGAAAATGTGTTCTTGCCCTAGTGAGCAAGTTAAAAGGAAAATACGAACGTAACATTAAATGTCATTATAACGAATGAAATGAAAAACAATTGATTTATTTACGATTTACATAAATTAATTATTTATATTTTTAATATATACATATATATTACATACTATACAAATACAATCCCATGCTGCTGCAATTGCACAAATAAAGTATTTTTCAACATTTCAACTTTTTACACACGAAAAAAAAACAATAATAATAATCAAAATAAATAATTAACAACAAGACGTGACAAGCGAAAACTGTTTCGTTCTACTAACCCAAGGATTTAGTGTTTCCGCCAATCGTTCTCCCAGTTATTGTGAACATTGTTTACCCAAAATCGGCTACTTGGATTCCAGAGTTAGCTAGCCATAACAAGAGCTGCCAATATTTGCACTAATCCAATTTTTTACTTCTTAATAACACTGACTAACCAATGAACCGACCACTTAACCAACGCCAACAAACCAACAGACGAGATGATCAACGAGAAAGAGCATTATGCAATCATTAACGATAGCTTGGACTTTACATTTGTCGAGCTGATGGGCATGCCGCCCTTCTATAACGACCGCTACCCCAAGCCGCCCACACCCGAGTTAACCGAAGAGGAGATTGCCGCCAAAGAGGCGGCACGGCAGGCAGCCGCCGCTGCCGAAGCTGCTAAGCTCGCCGGCGAAGAGGCGGCTCCAGCTGTCGAAGGGGAAGAGGGTCAGGCGATCGAAATTGCCGCAGTCGAAGAAGCTGCTGTTGCCATTGCTGCGGAGCCAGTCAAAGAACCCACGCCACCACCGCCGCCGCCATTCGATTATAATATTGATCTGCCGCCCGAGGGCGCCGAAGTGCCATATGTAAAGAATTTCGAAGCAGGCGATACGCCGCCGCCAGCGGAGGGTGATGCAGCTGTTCCAGATGCAGTAGCTCCCGTAGCTGTCGCTGCTGAGGCAGGTCCTGCTGAGGGAGCTCCTGCTGAGGGAGCTCCTGCTGAGGCAGCTCCTGCAGAGACAGCTCCTGCTGAGGGAGCTCCTGCAGAGGCAGCTCCTGCAGAGGCTGCTCCCGCTGTTGAAGCGCCGCCTGCTTGAAACAAATCGAACATTATTTCAATTGATTGATTCATACAAATTGAAATATATCAAAAGAGGGATCTCGTTATGGCTAAAACAAATGATGAATTGTGTTTTCCTCGTCAAAATCACTAACATCATGAGCAACCCACCCCCAGCCCCCAGCCCCAGCCTGTTCGTCCCGCCGACTAAATCGTTGCTTGGAAAAGCATTTTTTTAATTTTTAGTTTTCTTAGTTTGCGCTTTTGCTTCCTTTTCACACTTTCAATATCCATGCCTCTTTCTCTCTCTCTCTATCTCGCTCTCGCTCTTTCTCTTGACTGCTTGTAATGCTTTCTCACTGCCACATTACGCATCGCGATCGCATTTGAAACATCTCAGACGACATAATCGTCGAAACTGAACGCTACTGCCTAATCGGCGACAGTCTCGACGAGGCGTTCCTGGACCTGATCAAGGGCCTCGAGCCATTCTGGACGGTGCGTAATCCAAAGCCACCCACACCCAAGTTGCCGACACCGACGCCCGAGGAATTGGCTGCCATGGAGGAGGCCAGAGCCGCAGCCGAGGCGGCCGCCGCTGCAGCGGCTCAGGCTGGCGAGGAAGGCGTCGAAGGTGCTGTTGTTGCTGCCGTCACGGAGGCTGGAGTGCCAGTGGCAAAGGAACCGACACCACCACCAAAGGAACCAACTCCACCGCCACCACCACCACCGCCATTCGATTACAATATTGATTTGCCACCAGAGGGTGCTGAAGTGCCCTTCGTCAAGAACTATGAGCCACCACCACCCGGCTCTGAGCCAGAGCCAGTACCAGAGGCTGATGCCGCCGCACCAGCGGCTGAAGGCGCTGCACCACCGGCCGAAGGAGCTGCACCGCCGGTTGAGGGAGCAGCGCCCGCGGCTGAAGGTGCAGCACCACCGGCTGAAGGTGCAGCCCCACCAGCTGAGGCAGCTGCACCACCGGCTGACGGAGCTGCGCCCGCGGCTGAAGCTGCTGCTCCACCAGCTGAAGAAGCAGCGCCGCCAGCTGAGGCGCCAGCCGCCGAAGCCGCTGCCCCGCCCGCCGAGGCCGAGGCGCCACCAGCCTAAATCAACGAATATCGATCATCGATATATCAATCGGTACCGATTACTGCCCCTCCCTCGACCTAATCGATATGCTGCTCAAGACACACAACTGCTACAAAATGCTGCCCTGCTTTTATTTTTAATTTGATGCACGTTTTAAGAACAGAAAATGTTCGTGTTCACATTTATTAAAAATTTTAACCGAAGCAATGCAAAAAAAAAAAAAACGCTGACTGTGCTTTTTTTGTTGTGCTTGTTGCATTTAATTTTGATTTTGAATTTTAACAGCTAGCGGCGCACTGCATTACCGACCAAACACGCTGCCGCTGACAAGCAGTGCAATTGCTGTCTTTTTTATTTTATTTTTATTTATGAGGTAAATATAATATATAGTTTTACTTTATGTTTTGATTGTCAGCTAAAATGTTATTGTGTATAGGTTTTTCTGTTTTTTGAGAGGTTTTCTTTATATATTTAGTTGTAAACTTGTGTTTTCTTAATTTGTATTGTATTTTCATTTTTATTAATTTAAATATATTTTCTTTACTCCCCTGTTTTCGATTTCGATTATGATTTGGCAACATTGAACAGACGACCTTGTTTTGGAGAAGGAGCGTTACAAGGATATTGGCGACGATCTCGACACCGCCTTTGTCGAGCTCATCCTCAAGGAATAAGCGCTGCTCCATTGCCCGCCCCAAAGAGCCGCAGCAAAATCTATCCACACTTAACGCACATTTATCGTCATGTTTTTCGTATTTCGTATTTCGTAGCATAGTTGTAGGCGTCCAGTAGACGTACTTTGCTTGCAATTTGATTTTTGTGTGTGTAGCGTAGAGTAATGTGTGTAGATTTGGTGTAAAGCCTTTATTAAATTATATGTGACAATCGCATTGTGTATTTGTTTGACTCAACAACTTTATTTATCATTTGTATCCACAAACTATGCAATAAACTACAAAAAAACTATATAAAATTCTTGCGTATTTCATTATTCAACCGCCGCATTCGTAGACGAGGTCAGCAAAGGTAAGGAGAAGTACAAAACCATTGCCCAGGAACTGGAATACGCCGATCTCAACAGCTATTAAGCCTAACAATAACAACATTAAAAATACAAGTTCAGCCTGAGATTTACAAAATGGAGTGCGATGCCTCTCGATATTCAGCTACGAAACATTCTATTTAAGCATTACAAGAAGTTCTAAAACATTTATAATAAAGCAAATTTTTAGCAATAATATATATATATATATATACTATATATTTAAAATGGATGGATATGTATAGAGGAAATGCTGATTAATTTTGAGTGAAAAACAAAATACTGCCGGTAAAAATATTTAAGGCACATGAAAACCACAGATCCTAAATAGCAGACCTTAATTTCCATTGTTCAAAATCTCTGAAACCCACCAGTAAATATCTTATAATAACATAAATGTAGCTTCATGCACCGCCAGATTCACACCTTTTTGCAGCTTCAAATACAGTCAATTTAATTAATTATTTAATTATTTCATTTTGCTTGCCAACTAGATGAAAAATATATCTATAAAAAATTGACAATTTTCATGGCCTTTGTACGAAAATGCAAAATAAAAAGTAAATTAAAAAAAAAAAAACAAAATGATAATTAATAAAATGTACACACTTAGCTTTTGTAATTCTGAAACATACAAATTCAATATGTACAAGTATGATTTAATAATACAATTTCTCAGTTAATAAGCGTTTATATTTTTATGATAAATAAATGGAGAAAATTCTTTTGCATACAAAATTCACAAAGAAATGTTTTTATTTAAATACTCGGACAATTTGTTGACTAATCAAAGGATCAATGTATGAATATTCTATAAACTTGGTTACAGTGTTGAGTAATGCCACTCACAAGTGTTAATTAACAGTTATTGATATCTATAAATACATAAAGCAGCTGTGTTTTGTAACATTTGTAGAAAGTTGTGCTATACTGGAAAAGGTTTTTGTATTTCAAAATGGGCTTCGTCGAATTGTTGATTATTTTCCATAGTTTTTGGCTTAAATTAAGGGAAAAAACGCTGAATTTATTAAAAATTTAATTTACTGGCTTTAAATAAAACTAATGCCCATTTCATTTTAAATATACCTTTTGAAGATTGTTTTGGCAACCTTTATATTTTAAATATCTACGAAAAGCAGCCGAATTATATAGATTGTAAAATAAAAAAAGGGATTTTTTATACCAACAATTTGACCTTGTTGGTTCCCACCAAGAAGAATATAATTTTTGTTACAAACAAGCATTCAAACTTCTTTACAAACCGTAAATGTAGCTATTTATCCAATTGATGGCAAGGTGTTGAGGTTATCAAAAATAATAAATATTCTCTGTTTTTGTATACTATACGCGAACCTACATACCAAATTTGGTGTGTCTTGATCATATAATTTTAGAGAAATGCTTAAAAAACCTTGCCTAAAAATCGATATTTATCGATACTTGATAAAGTGTTCTGCGCATGATATACGCGAATATATACCTAGCTTCTTAAGTATTCATACAGGTGGACAGTCGGGCATGGCTAGACCGTCGAGGCTAATCCTGATCAAGAATGCATATATTTTTGATGTATATGTATATTCGAATAACTATATGTGTATTCTTTTCAATCCAATTATGGGTATGGCAAAAAAATCATCACCCCCCTTGGATGTTCTTAAATACAAGCTTACTGTAAGCTCATCAAAGTTTGATGGAGTTATGAACAAAATATTTTCGTTTTGGATGCGCAAGTTTTCAAATTTTCATTTCAATTGTAATTTTTTTGTCCACGTCACATTAAAATACGTTGGAAATAGGATTTCACCGTGTGAAAACAAATAAAAAAATTTCTCAATATTTATTTACTCAAAATAGATTCTCATCTTGTTAGCAGTGTCCGTCTCGGGCGTGTATGTTACCTATTTATAGCCGCACTTTTGGATGGATACAGATACACAAGACTAATAAAATGAATAAAAAAAAATAACATTTTTTCGATTAGGAAAAAAAAAACGCATAATTTTCATGCCTGTCTGTGTGTGAGGCATATGACTAGAATGCAGTGAAAGAAAAAGAAAAACGAGAGCATAGTTATACGAATAGCTGAGAGAGAGAGAGAGAGAGAGAGAGTCTCGCGAGTGAGATCTTTAAATACACACAGATACATTAATCCATATGTATTAGGGAAATTTTCGAGGGAAATTTCGATTCAGCCCAAGAAAAGTTGCGAAAGCGCTTTTGCGCGTTTTTTTTTTTTAATGGGAAATTTTACGAAATGAAAAATTATTCAATACTGCGTTGGTGTGCTTGTGTCTGTGCGTGTGTTTGTGTATCTGTGTGTGCGCCTTGCGTTATTTCTTGGGGTCGCTTTCTCGGCACCGCGACTTGGTCAGCATCAGTGTTCTCGGGGTTTCGACAGCGTATAGTGTGTTTGAAACGCTAAGGTTAGTTACGGCTGCTGCTGTCAGGATTTTGCATTGGGAATATAATATATAAAAAATAAATTTAAAAAATAATTAAAAATGTATAATATTTTTGTAAAAATCTGCGTTATTAACTTAAAAAAAAATACTTAAAAAAAAACAGTTTTTGTAAACTAAACGAAGTGAAAAGTGCATGCGAAATGCATTTGGTAAATGCATAGTTAAAATTGCTTTCTGCATAACGAAAACTTAAATATTTCTATATATTTATACATATATATATACATATATATATATCCAAAGAATTCAGTTATTAAATGTGCATATGTATGTGTCTATAAATAAAAATAAAAGCGAATATTGAATACAGTTAAAAATAAAGAACCTATTGACAAACGCCCAAGTGTTACAAAAAATTTATAAAATTAATGAACATCTGAAGAAAAGAACTTTAGAATTAATATATTCGCCATCTTTTTGAAATGAAAATTCACTATGCGAAACATAATCTACAAAAATTTATGATATGAGCGTTGTGAGAAATTCACTTATAAGGAATTTTGTAACTAAATCTGACAAAAATATCCGTCTATGTGTGTGTGTATGAGTGAAAATTTGCACACACTCACTGTTGAAAAGCTTCACACAGATACACACACACACACACACACCAACCAATACATATGCACATACGCACAATTTTTACAAAAGCTTCTGCTCAGCAGATTTCTATTATTCTATAAAATTAACTGCAGACAGACACCTGCCTGTCGCACACAGCTACAGATACAGATACAGAAACATATGCAGATACAGATACTGAGAAACAACTTTAAAGATTTTATTTTTAACTCTACTTGAAACTTAGACGAAAAAGCTTTTCTCGCTTAGCTTTTGTGATCTCATGAACGACGATCGCAACCGAACATTTGCTTAGGCCAATTTATCCTTGAGTTTGTTTTTGGCTATATGTCAGAAATGCTTGAAAATTATTAGAGAGCAGATGTAGAGAAATAGCTATGCATGTATTACGTATGTATATATATGATTTCTATATAGGTATGCAGTGGGAGATGCCACCCACACAAGATTTGGCATGAATAAAACTAATATATATATATTTCCGTTTTGGCCATATATGACAAACACTGAAGGCCACTAATATAATAAAATAATATATATATTAGGGTAGTTGGTGTTATTAAATATTGAGTGTTAAATAGATACAATTTAATTAGTAGATTAGGGAAAAGTTGGATATACATTTTTGTCTTAAAAAGTAAAAAAACTAGCACAAACCTGATCAGAATTACGCTGAAGGACTTGTTATTCATATTCAACCCATCAGGACCTTTAATGCTCAGCCCCATTTTAAAATGAAATAAATTATAAAGTCATTTCTCTCGGTGATATTTAAGGCCTGGGACCCCCAAGCGATACCCCACTAAATATACAAATACAACATCAATGACTTTGCCCCACTTATAGACACACACACACACACACACACACAGATAACCACCTTACGTATAGCCGAACGCCCACACAAATTCTGACCCCAAAAAGGAAATGTGTATAGAATGAACCGAAAATTTTCGAATTGCAATCATCGTGTATGGATATATATATAACTATATGTATGCGTGTTAATTTGGATGATGGGAACTCTAGAATTACAGGCCAGGCAAAGATGTCCAAAAAGCGCCAGCAGCATTCTATATGTATGTGGACTGGATAGGTTCATATGCAAAAGCATATCAGGTTTATTTTTAAACTCTTTGAAAATCGGACAACAAATAAATTGAATGCCGTGAAATAGAGAGCGCAAGAGAGGGAGAGAGAGAGAGAGAGAAATAGAGATCGTCCAGCTTTATAGTGGGCGTATTTATAACATAAAAAAAAGAATAGGAATAGAAAATTACGTTAGCTTTTATAAATGTTCGGCAAAGCCAAATTCTGTTTACATTTAGCTTTAAGCTTATATATGGATATATACGGATATATCCCTAAATACTATATTATATACTCTATAGCCTAAGCCTACAGCAAACACACTTTTTGAAGTGCATTTTTATGAGCTGCGAGGCAACATTTTGAATAAAGTTGTTGAGTGAAAAAGTGCAGAAGCCCTTCGTATAATACACGTAATAATACTAAAGAGATTTTGGATAGAAGAAAAAAGGTATAATACGTAAGAAAAGTAAACGAATTGTATAAATAATTAGATGTAGCTTCATCAAAAGGTTAAGGATTTTATTAATTTTCCTAAAATCTGGATGGCAGTGCCTTTTTCCAGTTTTCTTCCCTCCTAAGCGAAAAACAAAAACACAAACACCATGGACGCCATCAAGAAGAAGATGCAAGCGATGAAGCTTGAGAAGGATAATGCCATTGATAAGGCAGATACCTGCGAGAATCAAGCCAAGGATGCCAACTCCCGCGCCGACAAACTGAATGAGGAGGTGCGCGACTTGGAGAAGAAATTTGTGCAGGTTGAGGTCGATTTGGTCACCGCCAAGGAGCAGCTGGAGAAGGCCAATACCGAATTGGAAGAGAAGGAGAAACTGTTGACCTCCACGGAATCCGAGGTGGCCACCTTGAACCGCAAGGTCCAACAGATTGAGGAAGATTTGGAGAAATCTGAGGAGCGCTCAACCACCGCACAACAGAAGCTGTTGGAGGCCACACAATCGGCCGATGAGAACAACCGCATGTGCAAAGTATTGGAGAATCGTTCCCAGCAGGATGAGGAGCGTATGGATCAGTTGACCAACCAACTGAAGGAAGCCCGCATGCTCGCTGAGGACGCCGATACCAAGTCCGATGAAGTGTCCCGCAAGCTGGCCTTCGTTGAAGATGAGCTGGAAGTGGCTGAGGATCGTGTCCGCTCCGGTGAATCCAAGATCATGGAGCTGGAGGAAGAACTGAAGGTACCGCATCAAACTTGCCAATTATAAACATATATATATATATGATCTTTGATAGGTTGTCGGCAACTCGCTGAAATCTCTGGAAGTGTCCGAGGAGAAGGCCAACCAGCGCGTTGAGGAATTCAAGCGCGAGATGAAGACCTTGTCCATCAGGTTGAAGGAAGCCGAACAGCGCGCCGAGCAAGCCGAGAAGCAAGTGAAGCGCCTGCAGAAGGAGGTCGACAGGCTAGAAGGTATGTCCCACTATTCATCTGAATATATTGCCCCAATAACTGCCCCAATACCGTATCGAATGATATGTAAATATCGCATTGAATTCCAGTTCTCAAACTCAATGCAGCTTCAACTAATGCGTGCAGTCTATATGCAATATGCAATATACAATATATATACACATATATATATATATATACAATATTGTACATATGTTGATTGTTGGTTTAATACAATAATCATGGGACGCTCTCACACACTGCTTTTATTAATTTGACATATGTTTTATAAATAAATGAACAACAAATGCTTTTTGCAGACCGTCTCTTCCATGAGAAAGAAAAATACAAAGCAATCTGCGACGATTTGGACCAGACATTTGCTGAACTTACTGGATATTAAAAACAAGAACAAGCACACCAAAAACAAAACAAACAAAATGCCAAACAGTTCCCATAACACACACACACACACACACACACACATACACGCACAGATGTGCTCCTTCAGATCCCTAGCAAAATTCATGCACTTTTCCCACTGTGTAGATTTTCCACATATTCAGTCACAATTTACACTGTAAATAATTTGTTTAGTCTTCCTTAAATGTGGTTGCTGTTGCAGCACATACAACCCAGCCCTCAAGATACACTGTAAAAATAAGTTCAGACCAAAAGAAAAAAAAAACAGTTCCACTATCAATATAAAAAGTGCCAACTGTAGTTATTTATGCTTTCTCAAAACAACCAGGTGATTTCAATTATGTTTTATATCAAAAAAAAAAAAAAAAAAAAAAAAACTATAATATTTCTGTTTAGTGCGAATTTTACTTTGTTTTATGTGGCATGTTCAATTGTCTTGCCTACCCAGACACAAACAAGCCCAACTTTCGATTCTATCCGCAGTTTCTCTGCTGCACTTCGCATTTATGCTCATTTCTCATTACTTAGATTGCAGTTCGGGACGGCTTTTGCCCGGGGCTCTATAAGATCTATTTGACAGATGTTGAATATATACACAATGTAGTTCAATTTTTGGTCATTTAATGCTCATTATTGTTTACAGTCATAATGCTGATTTAGTGTTAGAAAATCATGTTTCCAAAAAAAAAAAGATATGAAAAAATCCCAAAAATATATATGCACCCAGACCGTAATCCAGACACAAAACGCAATTGTTTATTGTGAATTAAAAATACTAAATTAAAAATAAAATCAAACGCTTGCCAAAACAGCGCATCACTAACAACTAATAATTAACTGGTCACACTTGGTTTCTTACAGTTTTTTACAGCCACCCGCTGGTACCGTGGCACAAGACTTATGTTTCATGTGTTCAAATAAATGTTGCATTGTGTTTTATTGCCGAAAACCAATTCCAAGCCAATTATTAACGCACAATATTAATATTCGTTTCACAGACGAGCTGGGCATCAACAAGGACAGATACAAGTCTCTGGCCGACGAGATGGACTCCACGTTCGCCGAATTGGCTGGCTATTAAGCGGGGCACTGAGCGGAGCCTCTGGACCGGACGAAAGAAGAAGAGGAACTCAACTAAATGTAAACGATTATCATCTCAATATCATATTGCAAACCAAAACAAATACCAAGAACAACATCCATTGTGTATATCTTTAAACCAAATATATTTCTAAATAAATAAATAACAACAACAATAAGATCTATAGCAGCACAATAACTAGAATATATGTCAGATCCAAATCGAGATGAGTTCCTGTAAAATCTCATCAAAACCAATTAAATCTTTTAACATTTTAATGCAACAATGCAAGTAACTACAGATCCAAAAGAAAAAAACAACTAAAAATCGAATTCAACAATAATTTTTGTATTTTTAAAGTAATATTTAAAAATATTAAGAACTTGGGCAGTAATAAACATACAAAAGATACGCAAGTTTAGTTAAATCAAGAGAGATGAAGATAGAGAGAGAGAGCGACAGAGTTAAATATGTATCTATGCTGTTAAGAAGGATGAATGGTTACGAATTTGAAATTTTATAATATATTTAAAGAGAAAAAAAACACCCATAAAATACGAAAAAAAAGTATAAAAAATTTATAAACAAAAATTTTCAAAAAAAAAAAAAAATTATATGTTGATGTTTGCTTTGATGAGAATGCACTACTTATTTTCTTTGCATGGAACAGAACTCTTAGTTGTTATATTAAAAAGCATTTACTCGGGAACAATCAGAATAACGGAGTATTGTTATAAGAACCTGCACGAAAATGGCTTTATTTCAATTTCTCGATATCGGCGATGCATTATTTGCGCGATTTCAGAAAATCTTGTATGAAAATATATGGTTGAGAGCTATCAGAATGAAAATACCTTGAACCTTAAAATTCAGGTTAGTAAATCGATAAATATCAATTCCATATTTCCTTATCGACGGTTTCAAAGATATGGAATATTAGTTATATACGTATTGCTTTATTTTCTTGTCGATTTCAGAAAGGTTTCCATTGAAATATACTCTAGCTCAGAGTTATTGAATTGGAAATACCCTAAACCCTTAAATGCAGGTTTATTAATCGATAAGTATCGATTTCATATTTCCTAATCGATGGTTTCAAAAACGTAAAAATCGATTTACGATTAATATACAGATTTCGTACAATTCAAAAACTCAAACTTCTTGGTAACAAATTATGAAATATTTGCCGCCAACATTAAGTGTATCTTGAAAATGCAAAACACACTTATTCAGCTTTTGGGAAAACCCCCCCAAAACGAGCAAGATTTACAAATGCGTCATCGAAGCGGACGCCAAAAAGCCAAAAGACAAACAAAATGAACGATGTGAAGAGACCTTCATTGCGACATCGTCAAGTCGATGATGGCTAATATAAGTAGTCAAAATAAGTCAATGAAAGTCAAACTTGAATACTCCATGGCAACCATCTCAAAATATTATTATCTCTGCTTTCGAGAGCACTTCCATGTGGGCATGTGGGCGCAGAGAGAAACACGCTCCATAACTTTTGGATGTCGGCTATAATAGACCTGGACCGCCCGTCTCCAAAGCCATCAATCGGCCCCAAATCAGTTCACCGAAATGGGTTTGTTAATGAAGCTTTAATTATATGCAAACTCATGTGCCTTTCTTTCAAATTTGTTAATAGTCAAGAAAAACACAAATTGTAATTGGTTAATAAATTAGTTGTATTTATTTATGCTATTTATTCAAATGAATATGCCGCTGATCAGATGAAAAGCTTAATATATTTAAGCAAATGTGCAAAAGAAGTTTTAATATGGTATAATTCTTATGGGTCTAAAAATAAAAAAAAAAAAGAAAGAAATTAAAAGCTTTTAAAATTCTGGAGACTTTCAACTTGCAAAATCTATTATCTATTGAAATCTGTTAACAAAGCAATCTAAGAGTACCGCCTTATAGAAAGTCCTTGATTCATTAAATCAAGTTTTTGGATAAGTTAATACGAAGTACGTTAACTCCGTAGTATATGCGCCCCTAGGTGCTATCAAGATATTATATCAATATTCTCAAAAATAGTTCGGTTGTAATTGAATTTTTCGTTAGCACAAGGTCATATATAATATAAATATATTTATATTTCAATTATTTTTTACTTGTGCAAATGAAAATAATATTCTTCACATATATATTTAATATTAAAAATGATTAAAATGCAATATATTATTCTGAAACTGATTTACAGTATAGATCATATTCATCTACATAAAAAACTGTTTTAAACCTGATTTGGGCAATGAAAATAATTGATTGACAAAAGTATATGCGCCAGTAGCTGGTTTTCAATAATAGCTGCCATTCATGATATTTAATTAATATGTATTTATCAATAAGCTCGAGTAAACAATAAAACACAGTCTCAATGAGTTTAACAACAAAGCTAAAAAAAAAAAGTTGCCGCCCCAACAATCCAAACAGAAACCCAATGACTTACATTCGTGAAGAGCGTCGGAGAAAGTGAAATTTTGCATTTGACGCAGGTAAAAAAAAAATAAATAAAAATAAAAAAAAAACAGCAACATGCGGAGCCCCAACCACAGCTCCACTTGCAGCTCAGTCTCAGTTTGGATCCCACAAGAAGCGGACGCAACTCGAAGAAATCGAAAGTGTTATTCATTTTTTACATATATCAATTTGGAATCTTTAAACGTTGGATAGTGCAAACATTACATGTCGTCATGTCGCTGGCCGCAAAGAAAACAATTGTGTGTCGTCATGTCTTTGTGATGTTTATATGCCTGGGCCTTTGCCCTCGGTTATGCAAGGCGGAGAGTGAAACTATGCAAAAATACGCAAATGAATCGTTGACTGAGGCGCCGAATTGGTCACAATTTCTCGAAGATTATGTTTTGAGGTGTGTGTGTGTGTGTGTTGTGTGTAAGTCGATGCCAAAATGGATTAGTTGTTTCAAATGTGCCACTTTGCAGCCAGAGCAGCAGCAGCAGCAGCAGCAGCAGCAGCAGTAGCCAGCGCATGTCCAAAGATCTAGCCTATATGGGCGGGGAGATGGGCGGACCCATTAACTACCATTCCTCGGCGTACAAACGGCCCGGCAACAACATTTACATTACGCGCCGCATTGGCGAGGCAGTAGAGCTGGAGCCCCATCTGCGTACGCCGGTTGATAACCAAGGCCCGATTGTTAATCCTCAGTTCCGGCCCATGACGAACCAAATGCTGCACCAGCAGCAGCAGCAACAACAGCAGCAGCGCCAGCAGCCCGGTTTCTTGCAACAGCTTTTCGGTTTTGGCGGTTCTGGCGGCGGCGGCAGCGCAAGCAATGGACCCACAGCTCCACCTCAGGTGCATATGCGGCCAGTGCCGCTGCAGCAGCCGCCGCCACACTCGCAACAGCAGCAGCAGCATTTGGGGCCACATGGCAGCCAGCCGAACACATTTCGAGCCGTTTCCGAAAACGATCTGTATCTGCTGGGCGCCATTGAGAAGCTCGTCTATCGTGTTGGTAAGAAAATATTCAAGTTGTACAAATACAAAATGCATACATATATCCGATTTTTATCAGAATATAGTATATTTGATCTACAACCGGAGTTGTCAACTCTGTGTGTTGACCACCGCGCAGAGAAACTATAAACAACTTTTTCTTATCAGATACCATATTTAAATCTGATTAGAAAATTCTTTTAATGCCAGTTGATAAATATTTGATTCCTATTCCATCTGTCCGACAATTATTTGCATAAAAATCAGTTAGTGTAACTTAAGTTTATGAAAATTGCGTAGAAAGGTAATTTTTCAGGGAAAGCGAGTGAGTAAGTGGCCTTCGCCTTCTCTCACAATTCCTCGCTTTTTCTTTCTCATTTTCCTACTCTCTTGCTCTCTCTTTCTCTCTCTGTCTGTCTGTCTCTCTCTTTAACTAACCTGATCCACACGGCCTTTCTTTGCGATTTTCATGAATTTAAACATTGTTCAAAAATGTTGATGTTTTTCTTTTCCTGCAGATTATTTGGAAAGTCGCGTGCGACGTACGGAACAATTAATCTATTATCTAATGGCCGGCAACAACCAGAAGGAAGTGCGTGATCCCTGCCCTGCGAATTTTACGCGCATTAGTGACAATTGCTACTATATAAATAGCCAGCAGCAGGTGAACTGGAAGACGGCCAACACAGCCTGTAAGGGACTCTCTGCGCATCTGGCCGAATTCGAGAAGGTGTCCGAGAACGAGGAGATTATGGCCTATTTACTCAATCAGCCGGCGCATAGGGGGCGCGATTACTGGCTAGGTGGTCTCAATCCGGGTCTTTTGTGGATTTGGTCTAATTCCGCGAAGCCCGTCAATCCGAATACGAACCTCACATCAATAGCCATGTCGCAAAAGGCTGACAATTCAACGGCCTCCAATCTGGTGGACAGCAGCGAGGAAACAACGGACGACAACGATGTTCTCAACAATACAGTGCAAATTGAGGGAAAGGGACGCTGCCTGCGTCTGAGCTACAATGCGGGCAAGCACAGCTATGTGTACTACGGTCAGGATTGTACGTCCAGGCATTATTATATTTGTGAGTACGAGGACAAGACGCTGGACAATAAGATACAGAAGATAGCGCGTGATCTAAAGCTCTTTGATTAATAAACTAATATTTGCTATGAATTTAGATTTAATCATTTTCGATAGATATTTATCAAACAGAAGAGTTCTGTTCTGAGTTCAAGTTCTGTATAATTGTTAAAAACCCGATTAAAGCAATTGATTCCGAATAAGAACTGCTTAGCTATAGCCATAAACAGTTACTGTACATTTTCAATGAATTTCTTGTTTTAAACATAAAGTATTTATATATACATATGAATAAAATAATTTATAACACATTTTGTTTAAAGAAGCTACCTTTGGGTTACAATTTAAGGATACTATGTTGTTTTTTTTTTCTGGACAGCAAAGCTTTAAGGAATTACGCGAATGCAAATGAAATGTTTCGGCTGAGCCGATCGAACAACTTAACAATAAATCGACAAAGAGTTGCGCATGCTATAGGCAAAATTGTATACACAGAAGTGCAGGGAGATCTTAACTAGCAGCCGCAATGACTTAAAGTCGCGATTAGTCGGGATACAAGTAATCCTGCAATATGTTTTGGAAAGCTATTTTAATTTTGCCGCGATCTCGTCCATTCAGTTTCTGTATGTCGGGCAAAAGGCTCATCAGGAACATGGCATCCGAATCGGTCTTGCAGTCGCACAGATCCACTGTGTTCGCTGTGGCTACAGCGGCAGACGAGTTGTTCACCTCCAGACGCTGGGATGGCGTCCCCTGATGATGTGTGTGGGCGTGCGAATGCGGCACATGCATATGACGTTGGCTCAGGTAAGCGCTGCTGGGCGTCGCAACGGCTGCAACGCTTGATGGCGATGGCAACTCACTATCGGTTGTGGATGCCGCAACGATTCCAGCAACGGCTGCATTGCTATGCGTAGTGGTGCTCACCATGTCCACGGGCTTGCTACTAAATGTTGGACGCACAAACGAAATATTTGAGTGGTTTTGTAAATTGGCAGCGCCAGCTGCCGCAACCGCTGTCGCTGCAGCCGCAGCTGCACCTTGCAGCTCCTGTGAGCGTGAGCGCAGCACGCGTGCCTCCTCATGGTATGTGCGTAACTGCAGGCGATTCATGTGCTGCATCCGGTTGTTGCTACTACTGCTGGCATGCTGTTGATAATGGGCGTAGCGCTTCTCCAGCGCCAAAGAAGAGGGCGTAGATGTGGAGCTGGATGCTGAAGCCGTTACCGTCGCATCATATGCCAAAGTGCGCATTTCATGCTCTTCGTGCTCATGCTCATCCTCATCCTGATGTTGATGTTGATGAACGCGCTGCTCAGGCTCTGCTTCGTAGTCATCAACTGGCTCCTCGCACTCCGATTTTATGTCATTGTTGTCGAGCGTATGATTTTGGAAACGTGCCCGGTGCTCCTCATCAATGATCTCATCGAGCTCCGAGTTATTGTTATCGTGATCATCAAAATAGTCCAAATAGTTGTCCAACTGTTGCTGCTGCGGCGATTGCTGTGCCGAGTGGACAGCATTGCTCGGATTCACCTGCGCTGTGCTGTTTGTATTTGTGGTATTTGCCGCTGTACACGTATTGACTGCCCGTTCCCGCTGCATTCGACTTGAGAGGCTGGTCAGGTGCGCCAGTGCATCTTGAACCTGGGTATCAAGCGATTTGGGCTGCTGATGCTTTTTGCGCAAATAAGGATGCAGAAAGAACATGCGATCAAAGTACGACCAGCACGGCGGCACTTTCTCTTCCAGGTAGTTTGTGTACTCGCGTCTAAATGAAATGCGCAGATTTGTCCATTTGGCCAGGCTAGCGCCGGGATTCTTTTCCAACTTTAAGTCCACTTCACGCCAAAAGTTCTCCACGTATGGCCGGCAAAAGTAATATTTGTGTCGGGGATTGTAGATGGCCTCATCGCGTTGCACAATATCGATCAACTTGAAGACTTCCTCTGTTAGCCAGCGTGAGGAGCTTGCTGCACTTGCTGCACATGTATTTGTGGACACAAATTGGCTTGCGCTATAGTCGCTAGCCATGTTGGAGCAATTCCAATAAGTGGGCGTTGTCTTACATTTAGTTTATTGTAATTTCCAAAGTTTTATTGCGATTTTTTTCGCAAAACATTTTATTGTTTTTGCAGTTGCACGCGAATGGCAAATCAGCTGCTCCCAATAGTTGCACAACTATCGTGATTATTATCGATGGTATTTTGAAAGACAAATCGATTACTCCGGGATTTTCGGTGAAAACATTTTGGTATTTGTTTACCTACATTGTTAAGGTATTGATTAATGCAAACTAATTGATTTTAAAGTTAACTTTAAGCTGCTTAGAATTTTTATTTGTACGTCTTTTAATGATATAGATGAGTTTTAAAGTTATGTTATATAAACATAATCAAATACATTACCTTTGATGGTATTGCCGTCGTGTGCTAATTGGAATCATTCGAATTTGAATGTCCAGTCAATAAATGGTGTTCTATCGAATGTTTAAATCGGATAACCATTCAGTACAGGACCAGAGCTGTAATGTCTAACTATCTATGGTATTTACATATCGATATCGATATTACCCAATGTGTATGTGGTGCGAGTGTTTTCATTTTCATTGCCCGTATTTGTTATTAAATATAAAAAGCTGGTGTGAAGTGAGCTTTACACTCACTTTTATAGTGAATATCATACAATCGCAGATCAATAAACGTTCATATTTGTTGCTCTAGCCTTGCACATGGCACTTTGCGTTAAGGTACACCAACACATATAAAACCCTAGCAGACACTCACACTGCGCCGCCTCAGAGTGGAGCAGCCAAATTGCACAAACTTTTGTTTATATACGAAAACTCTTGCAGAATATTGATATAGCCGCTATAGAAGTTTGATGCGTTACCGTTGCCGGCGTCTTCGATATGGCAGTAAAGGTGCAGTTCGAAATTGGCCACACATCAAAGCTGCGCAGCAAGAAACATCCACAGGCCTTCACCCACGATTGGGAGATTTATGTGCAGGGCGTGAACAAGGCAGACATAAGCGCATTCGTTGACAAGGTCGTCTTTATACTCCACGAATCATTTCTCAAGCCAAAGCGTGGTAAGATTTTCCCTTCACAAGTGTTTTCAATTTGCGCGCCAAAAATCAATTTGTTTTTTTCAGTAATCAAAGAGCCACCTTATGCCATACAGGAGTCGGGCTATGGCGGCTTCATACTACCCGTTGAGATACATTTTCGGAATAGGGACGAGCCGAAGCGCGTTATGTATCAATATGATTTGGATCTGCAAAATTCGGGACCGCCTCGGCATCGCGTTGAAGTCAAAACGCATGTCTTTGAGGCGCCTTCGGAGGAGTTTCGTGCCAAATTGATGCGTGGCGGCGGTGTACCCGTTTTTGGTGCCAACATTGCTGCTGCCGGCAGTCTCAGCCGAACAGTGTCACCCAGCGTTGGAGGTGACTTGTCCGGATCGGAGTTGAACTTGGTGAAAGCGAAGGGTGGTGGCAGCAGCCTGGTGATCGAGTCTGGTTCCGGATCCAGTAAGAAGCACAAATCGCGCGTTGACGATGGCAAGGTGAACGCTTTCTCCGCAGTCTTTGGCCCGCCCATTACCAAAGGCAGTGTGGCAGGTGCTAATCTGCTGGCTATAACTGCGCCCAAGCATTCGCCAGATGCAAAGCTACAAACTGGATCCAGTAGCAGTAAGATCAGCTCCCATGATACTAAAGAGAAGTCCAGTAAGGAACGCGACAAGTCTAACAGTTCAGACAAACCACGCGAGAAAGACAAGAAGGATCGGCATGGCCGTGACAAGGAGCGCAAGTCTGGCAAATCCGGCGAGAGCAGCAGCAGCAAGCATGACAAAGACAAGGAAAAATCAAAGAAGGACAAAACGCGCGACAAAGAGCGCGAACGCGATCAGAGCAGTAGTGGCTCACTTGCAGCAGTCACTGGTGCCTCAGTCAGGCGCACGGTCAGCCCAAAGACTGGCGCTAGAAGCGGCTTAACCGAAATGAGTCCCAAGAAGCAGGTGGCGGATAATGCCGCTGGCACGCCCAATGCTCGTTCCAAAGAGCGCGACGAGCACAAGTCAGTGGGTAAATCTGAGTCAAAGGACAAGGAGCGAAGCTCAAACAAAAAGTCGAAAAAAGAGAAAAAAGACAAGGAGCGTGAACGCGAGCGCGAAAAGCAGCGCGAGGAGCGCGACAAAGATAAACGTGCTCTAAAGGATGAGCGCGGACACGGCGACAGTCCGGCTACCGGTAGCAGCAGTAATCAAACGCAAACATCACAGTCGCAACAATCTCAAACCAACTACGATGCCCTAAAGGCTACTGGCAAGGCCACGCCCAATTCACTGGGTAGCAGCGCGAGCGCCAGCAGTCTAGCCTCCAGCAGCGGTAAACGTGCCCAAGACAAAGAGGAGCTGACTGGGCCAGCGGCACAATCAGCCACAGCATCGACAAAATCCGCCGAGAAAGTCGCTGAAACCAAAGCCGACAAAACGACGAGCAGCAATGGTAATAGCAACGCGGACAAGAAGTCACACAAGCACAAAAAGAAGGACAAGAGCAAAGACAAAGACAAGGATAAAGATAAAGACAAGGAGCGCAGCGAACGCGACAAGGACAAGGAAAAGGAGCGCGACAAGGACAAGCCCAAAGACCGTGAAAAGGATAAGGCGCAACAGTCATCTGCAGCGGACAAGCCATCAGCAGCTACAGCAGCAGCAGGAACAGCAACTGAAACATCACTCAAAACAGAACTGAGCAGCCAGCAGCAGACCGAAGGAAGCACGGATAAAACTGTAGCCGTAATCAGCAAGAAAGAGAAGCATAAAAAGTCTAAGGATAAGACCGCCAGCAAAGAGGAGAAACGACAGCGCGACGCGGACAGTAAGCACAGCAATAAACAGGCGACATCTACAGTAGCACCAGCAGCTCCTGGAGCGGCGCAGGTGCAAATTAAGGGCTCTAGCAATTTGGACTTGAGCGACATGGATTCGGCACAATCGGCTCCAGATCTGGCAGCCACTCATGCACTGGCAGCAGCAACAGCCGCCACGCTGCAGCATTCAGACAGCTCCAATAGCAGTTTTCCCGATCTGCCGGCAAAAAGCAGCCAACAGAAGAACTCAACGGCCGCGAAGAGTGCACAGAATAGTGCGCATGCAAAGGATACCAAAGCGTCTGATAATGCGGGTAAAGAGCACAAAGTCAAGTCAAAGTCTGCCGAAAAGTCTGAAAAGTCAGAGAAGCTGGACAAGTCTCCAGAGGCCAAGACGGAGAAGCTAGACAAGGCGGATCTCAAGGAGGAAAAAAAACGCAACCGGCGCAACTCGCAGAATAGCAACAGCGGCAACAGCAATGCTGCAAGCAATTTCATTGAGCCGCCACTGAAATCCACAAAGAAAGAACAGGCGAGCAAATCAGCGCGCGAGAAATCCAAGTCGCCATCTCTGCGACAGGGACCAGCAGCATCGGCGGCGTCAGCGGGCAACAACAGTATTGGCTCTTCGCCGAGCAGCCATAATAACAACAACAACAATAACAACAGCTGTCCAGCAATAAACAACAACAATAGCAACAGCGGCCATTCGCCCGTGGAACCACTCAATCAGCCGCTAAGTGGTGGCGGCGGCAACTATACGCCATTGCCCACAGAATACCTGAACGAACTGCAGGAGTTGCATCACAAGATAATGACGCTGCAGGATAACGAGGAACTGCAACAGGTTGTCGAAATGATCGCCGCCACCGGTTGCTATGAGATCACCCACAAAACGTTCGACTTTGATCTGTGCAAATTGGATCGCGGCACCGTGCAGCGACTCCAAGAGTTCCTGGCGACCTCCGTATCGTGACACAAAATGTCAACAGGCACAGCAGCAGCAACGGCAGCCTATAGCTAAGCGACATGCACACTCAGATAACTCTCTCATGCACATAACCAAATAATCATTACAATTTACAATTAGTTTAACATTTGAAATGCAATGCAAAGTCCCGAATTAGGTACACCCCAAGTTGTATTGGCATCGTGTATTGGCCATTTATTTGTTTAGATTTTAAGTTGTCTAAGAGCGGGTGATAAAGGAGTCTATACCGTAAAGTATGCGATACTTTGGCAGGCAGACGGAAACGCCCACTCAATGAAAGGCTATCTTTTAGATACAACATAACATTTAACATATTTTAACTATAATATTTTGTTTCGGTCCTAGTATACTTTTTAGTTTCCTACTTGTTTATTACATCTGATGCTATTTTGTTCAATAAATATTTATTGATTTGTATTTTTCTACAAATAAATCCAAGATCATGATTACAATAGGTTTAACAACACATACATATTTTTTTTTTAAATAATATTAGAAGTATTGTGAAAGCAAAGAGAAAGCTCAATCTTTCGCATTCAATCCAAAGTTAAGATTCGTACCGTGTGCGATATATTATAGTTACTTATACAAAAATAAGTATATTAATAAATTATAACAGTTAAACATATATATATATATTTACATAAACACATGCAATAATTAATACATTTTAACAGACCAGACAGACAGTTGAGACGTGCCATTTAAAATATTGGCAATTGAAACGTACACAAAGTGTTATAGCCCATTAGCCCATTACTCAAAAATCCGTTGAAATATGATTAACATATGGCTCGCATTTGTTTGCCGGACTATATATCTGCCTTTTAGCACTTAAAAGGCGAGTACATTACCAGGTTACAAGTTACAATATCTGAATTTTGCTATATGCATTTGGTTATTTACAAAATGTTTGTCAAACTCAATTTTATTAAAAGCCCCCATTTATGTATATAGCAATATTACGCGATTACGAATTTATACAGGCAGTAATACTACGTAAATAACACTCATTGATGCATCTGTAATAAATGTAGTATGAGCAGAAGTATATAAGCAAAGTTTTTGAGAATATTCAAATAAAAATATATATACAATATAGAAATACATAAATACCTTCACATTAATTGAGTAAAATGTTCGGTTGGGTATCTTCCATCTATGTTGTCATACACGAAATGTTATTGAGAACAACAAAAATCATAATTTATAAAATTGTTTTCGTTAACTATTAATCGTTGAAAAACACAGAAGTTAGTCTCTTTTGATTTTATTTCAAAATTTGGTTTGTATCAATAATATTTGAGTTGAGTTGTGCTAAGGAACTAGTACGAAGAGAGCTACTAACTTAAATTTGTGACAAGAGCTTAGTGTCTTTGGCACATGAATACAAACGTAATTTCATATTCCATACATAATATATGTAAAGAATTAGGAAAACTAAAGTCTTATGGGTTATACTCCACTGCATTTTTTCAGTGCAGCTTGTGCATTGACTAGGTTTAGTCTCGGCAGTAGCAAAACTTGCGCAGCTCCGGATCGCGTTCGTAAATACATTTCGCCTGTGTGCCGTATTTGTTGACACGCGATATATCTGAGATTTTGCTTGTGACAATAAATGTGTGCAAATTGTGGACAACACTGGCCTCATACAATGCCTGGCCTGGCTGGGTGACTAGCTGCAGCTGATATAACTCTTCATGCACCACAGTGTGACCGCTCATGTCGGCCAGAAAGCCATCCGTATCCCTATTGGACTTAAATTGCAATAGTTCCTTGTGTGGGTCCAAGCGTAGCGCCCAGTTTATTTTTAGCAGCTGGAGTGGTGCACAAAGATTCCGCCGCTCTTGCGTTGCCGCATTGATAGTCTCCACAATGCTGCTGGCCGCTTTTAGAATTATGCCCTCGTAGCGGCTATCGTTCAACTGCAACGGCTGCCATTTGAGGCAAGCGCACCAATGCGGCTCAATGTATGCATCGGCACAGGAACGATTGCTGGGTATGGGCTCAAAGAGCGATATGGCGCGTCCCTGCGCCTGCTCTGAGATGTGTATCTCTTTTGGCTTAACGGAGCCATCACTGATGGAGCCATCGTAGCTGTTTTCAGGGTTCAGGTAACTCAAACCAGATGTTTGAAGCTCTGTGGAACCAGAAAGGATAATGAAAATATTAATATCGCATTCGGTCCTGAAGTAAACTTACGTAGAAGGTGCTTGAGCGTAGCATGTACATCAAAGGGTGTGGCGAGACGGTGTTCGTTGGCAACGAAATTTTTATACTCCTGCGGAAAGCGCTTTTTAAAGGATTCGGGAAATACGAAACTAAAGAAGGGCAGACGTTCCTCCTGTTTGCCCTGCAGCGTGGCGCGCACTTCGGCAAACCGATTACCATGATCAGCCATAAATATTAGTATGGTATCGTCGAGCAGGGACTTCTCTTTGAGCGTCACCAGCCAATCGTGCACATCGTCATCGGCCGCACCCACTAGATTAATAGAGTCGTGCGAGAGGCCGCCGTGAAAGCTAAACACAAAGCGTGGCAAGTCACGATACTTCATCATAAACTGCAAAGGAACTAATTAAATTCTGAAATTGTTGAAATAATTAATCATACTTACATTCTTTGTGTAATCCAGCATAATTAGATGATCTGGCTGGTTGCCAACACAGTTGGGCTCACTGCCACTCAGCATGTTCGATGCCTGCACGTAAAAAGTGCGTAAATAATGATCTACGGGCTGGGCATTGAATCCGTTCATTCGATATGTAAAGGTGCCAACATATGGCAAATCCTCGTTAAATGAGGTCAAGTAGCCGAGCTGGGCGAAATCCTGCCAAATCATCGGATAGGAATCGACGCTGCTAGCGGATGCCACCCGTTTCCTTGTCTCCGGCAGCTCCAGTTCTGTATACCCTGTGAGTAGGGGTACCAGAGCCTGTGGGGTTCCATCACCAACAATATTATAGCCCTGCAGTACAATGGCACCCAACTGCTGAGTTAAATAGGCATAGCTGCGCGGTAGCTTACGCATGAAGGCGTTCCGACTCAGCGAATCGAAGCCAAACATCAAAACATTGTAAAAGGGTGTCGTCGGCAGGTCCTGTATCTGTTGTTGTGCATGGGCAACTGCCTCGGCTGGCAGCATAACCATATTGGGCGCCAAATTGGGAGCCATTGGGCGTGGCACAGTGTCCCGAATTCCCAATGCCATGCCAAACCATCTCTCCCCGCTATCCGCATGACACGCAACCCGAACGAAATCGCTATGCTGGAGCACATATGGTTCCTTGATCCTTACGGTTCGTCCAAAGCGTGCGGTGTAGTCCGACGTGCGTATTATATCTGTATAGGAGCATGTTATATCGCCGTGTATTGCTGTTATCTCGGGCTTGACAAAACATATCGATTTCTGCGTAAGAAATTCCCTTAATTAATAATTTTTAAATGTGCAAAGCATGTTAACAAATGATACTTCCGGTAACCACTTCATTTTAACAAAAAAGGGTTTCAAATGAAAAATGTACAACCGAAGTCATATTTCAGCTCCAACGTTCAAGAGGTAAACATGCGTGCAAATAAACACATACATATACATATGTATACATACAAAGCATACATTTAATAAAGCAAATACGCACGTATTAATTAGCATTTACCTCGCACATCACCCAATCCGGCCTGGAGCCGCAGTTTATTTTGTCAACCGGCTTATAGAATTTCATTATGTCTGGACTATCCACGGGCAAGTGGGGCTGGTGGCACTCGCCCTGATTCATAGCAGACCTTATCGATCTCTCAATTATTTCGCTTGAAAACGGAATATTAAAAAAGAGAAAAAACAAACAACAAGTAAAATGTGTATCTACACATATGTATGCATATAAACATAAGAATGTTCCTTCAATTCCAAACACTTACATTTTTATGCTTTTATCTATTTCTTCTGGCTCGTTGAGGAACAAAAATGTAACGATCATCAGCAACACACTGCTTATCAGCAGCAGCTTTAGCAAGCCGCGTCGTATAAACCGCATTTTAAAAATACAATCTTTTTAGTTTGAAATAATTCGATTAGTTGAGATTCGAGCACGAGTTCCTTTTCTACATTCTGAGCTACAGAACGCTTTTACGGTTTACCAACTATTGCAATGGAACGGGCACTCGCGTTAAATTACCGAAGCAGCGGCGAGTTTAATACGTTTTTTGTATTTGCATTCTTTACTGGAATGCACATTTCTTTTGCAATAGCAGCGCTTTAAACAGAATTTCAGCTGTCATAAAAGTGCCCAAATCAGTGAGGCCATTCCATTGAATTGATTTTTGAAATTTTCAGTATTATATCTAGTATTATTTTATTGCCCTGTTTAAAGCATTGACAATATTCTCGCGATGCTGCATAAATAACACGTGCCACAAACAGGATTCTTAAAAAATTTGTACAATTATTCAAAAATAAAATTAAGATAATCTAGTTGTTTCGATAAATATATATTTATCGGCGCCGTCTTAGACGGAAATTTCACTTTTTTTTGCTTGATCTGGCAAGACTGCAATTCAAAATAACGGAAATAAATTCTTCAATATCAATGTGGAATTTATAAATTTGTAAACATTACGAATTATATGAATATAAGACATTTAATAGACTTTAACCTTAAATCTAAAAAGAATATTTTTTTATAATCGAGAAACGCATTTCTTGAACACAGAATTTTATATATTATTGTTTGACATGTAACATTATTTTCTTATGTTATCTTAAGTATTTACATAAAAATGATTTTTTAAGATACGACCAAGAACTCACAACTCCACTAACCATAAAATATTGTAATTGGGCCTTCTCAATTTTGCCCATATATTAAGTTTTGCATGTCATAGCATATTGAACGATAATGGCTATGAAATACACAGTGCCTACCACAATATAATAAAACGCGTAGACGGTAAACTGCTCAAATGTGGTCAGATAAAGTCCTCCACTCTCGGAGACGACCACGAGAGTGAGGGAAGTTTGAAGGATGAGGGCAATGAGTGTGTTAATTCCAAAGATCAAGGCGAAACTATCCTCCACCAAACTTTTGGCCAGTTCGGCGCTGTAATATAATATTGTTTGTTAGCAGAATTAGGCTGAAACGAAAAAGAAACCGTATTTACCTGGCCACCGTAATGGTAAAACCGAATAACGCCCCAAATAAAACATAGCCCAGATATGATAAATATATATTGGTTGTCCAGGAAGCCAATAATATGCAGCCACCCTCAAGAACCGAAAGCACAGCCAACAATAACAGGCTGGAGCGCGTTTTTAAACGACCAGCATGCAAATAGCCTGCCATTAAAGAGAAGAGAGCAGCTAGTGCAGTTAAGGCGGCATCCACGCCCCCATTCCATACAATCTACGGATGATTACGATTACGATCAGCTGATAACGGCTGATAAAGGCTATACTCACCGTGGGCTCGTTTTCAAACGATTTCCATACGACTTGCATGTAGGTTGTGACTTGCAGATAGCCGGCCAGACTAATGGCATACCATAAGCTCCACTGTAGAACCATTGGATTTGTGTAGGCGCTGTGAAAGTGCGCCCACAGCAGCTGAATCGGCTGAACACGATCCTTTTTGGCAACTGACAGTTCAGGTGCGTCCTTAGCATCCTTAGGCGCAATATTATCAACAGGTGCAACAGGTGTGTTTGCCTCGACACTGGCACTGGCTTTCCGATGGAAATACAAACTCTTCTCAACTCTGGGCAATCCAATGGCCCAGAGAAGGGCCAATACTTGCGCTGTGTGGCAAAAGTAGGTATAATAATAGTTATATAGTTATCGAAGGCACACTTACAGCCAACAGATATGTACATCAACTGCATATAGTTCATCCAATAAAAGCTGATGAGCAACTGGGCGGACAAGCCGGCCACCAGCTTGCCCACAAACATGGCCGCTCTGGTGTGGGAGGTAACACGGGGGTAATACTTTTTCTCGACCTTGGCATATATATAGGAATAGTATGCCACTTCGGTGGCCTGATAAAAGCCATAAAACACCTCGACAATTTGCAAGCCCAACAACGTTGTCGTCCATATCAAAACACTCCAAACAATAATTCCAGTTAATGCGTTCGCAATAATCATTGGCTTGTATCTGTTGCGGGCATGAATAGACAATTTAACTGTGTGTGAGTGTGTGTATTACGATTACCTGAGAAAATCTGTTATCAGAAAGACAACAATCAATAGAGCCAGATATGAGTAGGTGCCAATGGGATAGACAGCCCGATTAACCTGATCCTGTGTCACATTGTACCACTCGCCCAGCAGTATTTCGGCATGGTAGGGCTCCGAGGGACGCAGCTCGCGCAAAAATCCAAACACGCAGAGCACACCTGATATTCTTAGCCAAGACAACTCCATCGCTAGCCCGACGTCTGCCCGAACAGCACACCTTCTAATCGACGGCTTGGCCCGACGGAACTGACAGCGCTGACTAGCTCAAGCTTGTCATGTATAGCATACAAATAATTAAAATAATTACACATACTTTTATGGGGTTATAAGTTGAACAATAAGTACATAGTTTCTTTTCATTTTTTTATTTGTTGTAATCAGTTTACAGATTAGCGTAGACGATGGCGGGTCGCGAAAATTTTCCCTAATCGCTGGCACGATTTTTCACATTCTACTTGCTAAAATTCACACAGTAAAAATCGATGCATTAGTTAAAAATAAACTTAAAGCGCCTTCAAGATTGCCGTGTAAGCAATTTAATAAGTTTCACTTATTAAAAACGGCAACTGCGGCTTTTTTATACCTGCTATAAAGAGCAATAATATGCCGAAGGTTAATTGCGCCTATTAACTAAGTGAACAACGTATTAAAGGATTTAGCAAATGATATATATATATATATATATATATATATATATATATATGTATATAGAGAATAGCTCGTAATACGTATAAATGGAGTCCAAACATACTAAAAAACGTACTTTCATATGCAGTACAACAGGGTGTATAAGCATATAAGAAATATTGCTCGTTTTGCCATTTTAAATCATTTGTTCCAAACCTCTTAACTCTTTATCGCGTTCAAAGTGCTGCTCGGATCGCAATCAGAGACAAACTAAGTTTCTGGTTTGGCAAATAATGTGTAGATACTTGTTGGACGTGTTTACCAACAAGACAAAGAAAAACTAATTTTAATCCCACGTATAGTACCTATAAAATTACAAATTTCCGCTTAGTCTGCGAACACACCTCGTAAATGTGTTCTAATTATTTGTATGCACAAATAATTAGAAATGCAAATACAAACTTTTAATAGACTTGCTGATATTAACAGGTTTTTTTTCCGGGCCAAGTGTTTTTCCTTAATTGTTAGGTATCAGTTTTCAACTTATTTACCGGTCATAATTAGGATCTTGCATGATTCCATCTGCAAAGTTTCTTTATACAACTTGATTGTCATTTATACAATTATGCATTAAGTAAGTGTTAAAATGATACAATAAAAACACAAAATAACTACTACAGCAAATGTAATTTACAATTATTGATTGAAATTTGTGCTTCTCATAGGAACATATTTATTTCTATCTAAATGGTACAGCTTATTAAAGAGAACTATTAAGTACAAAATGCTCAGACTCAGTGGCGTACGCGGAAATGATTTAAAAGTGACTCACACAAACAAATTGAACTTCGCAGAAAATACAATTTTGAAAACTTTAAAAATTTTAAATAATAAGAAAAACCAAATAAGAATTAAAGCAAGATAACTAACATTATGCGTAATATATTACGATCATTGAGATCCATTTAATCCATTGATTAAACTTCTTGTGGGAATGCAAGCAATTTAAATTTATCAGAAATTAAAATATACAAAATAAACAAATATTTTAGACCACATTAAAACATTTTCAAATTTCTGCATACGCCACTGCTAAGATCTAATCTATAATTTCAGTTTTTTCCTGGACTTGCTGCGCTCCGCGATACCATAGATGCTCTACCATGACGGATATAAAATATATGATAGCGACAGCTATGAAATAAAAAGCATAGACCGTGTATTGGCCGACAGCGTCGAGCTCAAAGCCCGTTTCGGAGACGACAATAATGGTCAGCAACGACTGGAAGACCAAAGCCAGCAGCGTGTTGATGCCAAAGACCAGGCCAAAGCTGTCCTCCTGCAGATTACGTGCCACCTCAGCGCTGTAAGTAAATGCATTTAATTTAAATCATAAGCTTGGAAGCATCATATATACCTGGCCACAGTGATGGTAAAGCCGTACAGTGCGCCAAAGATTACAAAGCCCACATAGGACCAATAGATATCATGGGTCCAGCAGCAGATCAAGACGCTGCCACCTTCCAGCGCAGATAGCACTGATAACACGAGCAAACTGGCTCGCGGCCTCAAACGACCGCTGTGCAGATATCCCGCGGCCAGAGCACTTAGCGCCGCCAAGGCGGTAAGCACGGCGTCGACAGCACCATTCCATGCAATCTGTGGCTCGGGCTCGATAACCTTCCACAGCACCTGCATATAGTAGGTGACCTGCAGATAGCCAGCAAGTCCAATGGCATACCACAGGCTCCACTGCACCACTCGCGGATTTGTGTAGGCATTGTAAAAGTGCTGCCACAGCAGCCGCATGGGATTGTACTGGACCTGCTGGTCGGTGGTCTGTTGGCTGGCCACATCAGGTTCGCCAGATTCCGACTGCGGTTCCAGCTGCAGTTGCAGCTGGTTTGTCTGGGGAGTTTCAGGGGTGGCCTCCCTTAGATATACTTCGCGGTGGAAGTACAAGCTCTTGTCCACTTTGGGTAGTCCGAACGCCCACAGCATGGCCAGAATTTGTGCTGTTAAATTATGGAACAAGATTAGTAGAAGCCTCTGGTATGTTTTTAGTTAGTCAACTAACTGGCTAGCGTTATGTAGTTGAGCTGCTTGTAGTTCATCAGCTCCAGATTTATCATCAGCTGCGATGTAATGCCCGAGATTAGCTTGCCGGCAAACATCGCAGCACGTGTGTGCGAGGTAACGCGCGGATAATACTTTTTGTCCACCTTGGCATAGATGTACGTGTAGTAGGCCACCTCGGCCGCCATGTAAGTACCATAAAAGAATTCCAATATTTGCAACGACAGCAAACTGGTTGTCCAAATGAGCATGCTCCAGATGATCACGCCAGCGGCACCAATTGTAATTATGAGAGGCTTATATCTGCAATGAAAAGGGGAAGAGAGGTGAACAAATTTGCTCAGTAAATAAATACAAGTGTATTTTCATATACAATAACTACAAAAATATTGCAGACGTATAAAATAAATATAATATATATATACACATACGTATCATACGTACTTCACATATTGATTATACATATGATTTTTTAGCTGGTATAACCCAGCAAATCGGACAAAAACTAAAATTGCTCCAAAAATATCTTAGAATCGCACATTCCACAGAGAAAGCTTCGATTTTGCGAAAATTGTGAAATACGTCTCAAATGATATTACATATAGATCTTTGGAAATTAATTTGAGCGAGAAACGTCGGCCACCAAATCTTTGACCTCCATTTCCGCCAAGAAGGAATACATTTTTGGAAAAGTGTGAAATACCCCTTAAATGAATTTAAACAAACAACTTTGAAATTGTTCGTTTTTCCACACTTGCGGGTACAATTTCCCGAAACCCCGTCTTAACGTGCACCTTAATCACAAAGGGCATCATAATTACATTGGTAAAATTTGAAAATTCAAATTTCACCAAACAGTCAGTCAATAAACCAGTAAGTCAGTCAGGACTTACTGTTTAATATTTAGAGATAATCAAAATAATGAATACATGCTCTTCAGATACGATACAAATCTTATTGTAATACCATACTATATTATTTTTTGTATATTTCTAATACATCCAGTTAGAAGCTTCACTTAAGCAAGAATTTTATAAAGTTCAAACATCATTGCTTAGTATTAACAATTATTTGAAGCTATATGGATAAATTTTAATGATATAGCTGCTAAGACTAAATAATACCGATTATTGCGATATTTAGTTGCGGTCTTTTTGTTTTAATTTATTGCAAATATGACAAACTTACCTCAGAAAATCCGTTATAAGAAAAACAAAAACCAATTGAACCAGATGTGAATATGTTCCCACTGGATAAACGTCTTGTGTTAGCTTTAATAAAGAAGCGATTCTATGTAGGACAATTTCAAAAACTTGCCAATACGCAAACTCACCTGTTGTTCCGTAATGTTGCGCCATGGGCCTAGAAGATATTCCGTGACATAGGGCTCAGAGGGTCGGATCTCGCGTACAAAGCCAAACACGCATAGCAGGCATGAGATTTTTAGCCATTCCTTCATCTTGTAACCGTTTCACGTAACGCAACGTAACGTAACGTAACGCAACGCGACACCTCAGGTGTCGTAACAAGTATGATGCGATGATATGGTTGATATTTTAATGAACTACATCAGCAGTTCTTTACGCTTGTTTTGAACGGACTTGCAGTTTTTTTGCATGCTTTTCAACTTGTTTAATTTTAGAAACTCGAAGTGCGCTTCTTGGAAACGACCTGCAGACAAGCCAGGCGTTTAATCTAATCGTTGGGTTGGTTTATTGGGTGGCTGCTTGGATGTCATTATCTCGCATTAATGCCGACACACTGATTGCTCCTTTATACAATTGTTAGATAATTGAAAATTTATAAGTTACAAAACGCGGCGCACGTTGCGCTCACTTTGACGTTCTGCGACCAATTTGCCGGCTTGCGATACACGGCATACAACATTTTGAATGTCAGAGACACACATATGTATATACAAGCATATACACATGTATTCATATAGGCTTGAGTGTTTGCAAACAGTTGTTGGTCAGGCTGAATATGGGATACCCTACACCACTTACAATTTCACACAAGGCATGCGGACCGTGCACATTTCTGCTGGACACGCTTGTTATCGACTCTACTGTTGATTTAATTGATTTAAAAGACGCCTGCAACAACAACAATAGCAACAACAACGCGAATTCTCTCCAATTTATTTGATTTATTGGTTGTCAACACAAAATGGATTTGCTTTCATGCCCACGACGATTGTTACATCACAATTGAATTGCATATGCAACAGCTGTGCTCAGCATTTGGTTGGCAACGCGATGTGAAAACAGCTGTTTGCATCCCATCTGTGATTGGCGCCAACCCAGAACAAAAACAACGACAGATAATTATATGCAATTGATTTTTGTATATTGTAAAAAATACACGTTTATTAGCGCACACATTTTAAAATTGTTTATGTGTGTGTATGTGTGTGTGTGTGAAAGTGTTACAAAGTATTTATGTATGTACGCATATGTATAACAAAGTAAAAGAGAAACGTTTAGCTATTTACACAAACAGACGGAGTAAGTAATATAGTTTTTTTGTTTTTTTTTTTTTTTGTGAACAATTTGTATGAGCAGCTGCCCATTCGTCAAAAGATATCAATAGACTATGCTAAGAATTATTGGCCACATTTACGGAAAGTTAGAAAATACGTGTAAAAACTCTTAACAGCAACATTGAGGTTAGACTCTTTCGCACATATTTCGTATTCGTTGATTGTTTCATCCCAGTCGTTCCTCGCAGGCATCGTCTCTCTTACTGCTGCGCAATAGGCGTGCCCTGGGGGCTTAAGGCTTGCGCCGACGTCGTTGTCAATGACGTTGGCTCCGATTGGACAAACTCAATGGACGCCGAGTTGATGCAGTAGCGCTTGCGTGTGGGCT